GGGGGAAGGTGGAGAGGGAGAGGGGAAGGGGGGAGGAGAAGGATGCCATGGAGAGGGGGGAGGGGGTGGTGTTGATGGATCAGGGCCGGTCGGAGACGTTGGAGCAGTTGTGGAGGAGTTGGAGGGAGGAGGGGATTGAGGCGAGATTGGATGTGGTGGAGGGCGTGGCGCATGATTCGGCGGGGGTGCAGGAGTGTGTGCTGGGGTTTTTGAGGCCGTTGATGCAGGGGAGTCGGTGATGTGCTCGTGATGTTTGTTTGCCTTGAATAAGAAGAATGCAGACGATGATATCTATACTATTCTTGGCAACCTGTACATCATCCGATCACAGAACACACCTGGACTATTCCAGCCCCCAGAGTGTCCGTAAAGTAGCAGCGTGATCCGAGGTCTTCCAACCACTTTCCCGCTCAATCCGAGCGAGATGCTTTAGAAGCAGTATCTTTTCGGTAGAATACAGGTCCTCCACGTCAGCTACAGAAGTGATCTCAGCCCTACCACTGCTACGTCCTGATGGTATGTTGTGATCTAGTCCCCGGGCGCCCGGGCCACTACTAAAGACCGTACCAGCAACAAACAGTGGCTGAAGATGATTTACCCAGTTTGCACTGAGCGCTGTCAGAACAGCAAGGGACAAGTTAGGACCACTTACTGCGATGGATTGGACATGGATATCCCGGCTAGCTCACGGGCATGCCAAAGAGCGCTTTTCTAAGACAGGCGAAGTCAGTTCACGGGGCTCGTGTAGGGGGTGCTCTAGTAGGAGTATCAAGTGCTCTGCAACACTTACAGTCTCTTCAAGGAACGGTGTACCCATAGCAACTGGAAGAATTCCAGTCTGAAGAAGCAGGATGCAACCTGTATGGTGAAACGTGTTGCCACAAACTACCGACTTTGTGTGATGTATTGTACGATCCATGAAATAACTTACTAGAGGAGGACCTTGAATACAGTACAGTGGGAAAAGCCGGAGGGGAATGGTCCCTCAACAGGGGGCGAACTACCTGCGGACGAAGGTGGTACCAGGTCTGTAGCTCATCCCATAAACTCCGCACTGCAGTGGCATGATATCCAGTGGCTCGCAGATTGACAATCTTGGCAAAAATAAGATTGGCCAAATTGCAATATTCGTCCACATCTCCCTTGGCTGCAACGGACTCAATTGACATATCGTCGAGCCAAAAGTCCGTGGGTATCAATGTTGTTTTTTCACTAACAAAGGCGGCCCAGACATCTGCGCATGGTCACATCCTCATTAGCTTTAATAGCAAGACAGTGTTCAGACTTGAACTTACCTATTCGAGGAAATGCCCAGAAACAGGACTTAACGATACCATTCGCTGACCCGTTCCACCCTTTTGCCTGGAGATGACCAGCGCAGCCCTATTCGAATTAGTCAGCGGTACTAATAACTAGCATAACGTGTACTCAGTACCTTCAAATGTCGTCGCCATTCATGAACCTCGGAAGCCATCATCTCATATACACAGAGCAGGGTACAGGCAGCCAGCATGGAGGCATCTGACTTCACAGCATGCTGTCGGAGAAGCAGTTGGATAGTGTACTGGTATAATTCAAGAGTGACTGGCCGTTGTTGACGCTCCACATGGTCCAACTGGCGCGAGGCCAGGGACATGGCAGCAGCCACAAAGGCCGTCGACTTCATCATCTCGTGAATACTTCGTACAGTGAAATGCCTTTCCGAGTCCGTCGTCTCGCACCAGATGCCAGTCTCTCGCAAATACCAGCCGATCAGGCGGGCTTTTTCTGCACTGCTCACGGGTGACGAGGGTTCCGGGGTTCCGATATGCTGAGATATTTCCTGCCGAGATGAAAAGGGCAGAGTGTCTGTCTCTGGTCGTGGAGCTATTGCACCAGTGATAGAATCGTGGTTGGTCGATTCGGGTGGAAAGCAGAGATCTGCTGGCCTCGGTGGCTGTAGCGAGGTTGATCCAGATAACAGATCTCCGATGCCGAGGTCACTAGCTAGCCTCCAGCTGCCACTCCAGGTGCCACTCCCAGCGGTGTATTGAAGGTTGTCACATACATCAGACCCGTCCGAATCACTTTCTGGACTGGGTTCATCGGAGTTGGACGATGTGGCGCTATTCCCACCGGGGAGGCCCTGATTAGTCAATCCATGATCACATCATTGGTCCAGAATGGTATAGGACACACATCATCAGAGAGATTGTAGCTACGAATAATTTTCTCCGTCTCATCCACAATCTGATGAACTGTTAACAAGGCAGCATAAACAATAAGAAGTAAATAGAGAAGAGAAGGGACGAACATACCATCCGAAAGCTCCGCGCCTGACGAGAGCGACGATTGCGCCGTTCTTCAATCGCTATCAAGGCTGCCGTTTCGCAGTCTGAAAGGCTGAAATTACGGGAGGGGTGGAAGGACACCTTGAGACCCCATTGGCAGATGCAACCCCGCGACTCACAATTTCGACACTTGGGGTGGGTTCCATCGCCTGTTGAAATTTGGAGCAGTCAAGTTCTCAGCCATGATCTTACGTTTAGGGAGAACACTGAGGCGTACACTTCCGGCGCCGGCGCCGGCACGGCAGGCTGCAGTTGTACTACAGCAGCTGTAGAATCTTCACTAGGGTGGTTTGTAATGATCATACCAATCAGTTCTAGTTCGTTTGCTGACTGCCCCTTGTGACAGCAATATTGATGATATTGAGTGTGTGTTGCCTAGCTAACTACGCGAGGAGAAGGTGACTGGGTGGCTAGGTCTGAGATTACATGATCTCTTTTCATATCCTCTATGAGTGAGGACGTAGTCAGTAATATTACATATAAAAGAAAAAAGATATGAGATTATTTACATTTCTTAAATAGAAAGTAAAAAATATATAGATATAGAAATATTAAATATAATTTTAGATATAATCCACCATGCTGAGTTATTTAATAAAGTAAAAGTAAATAAGATATTTAAATAGCTTAATAAGGCTATTAATTACTTATTTAGTTATGTTAATATAGATAAATTTAATATTTTTTATATATATTTTATAATGTATAAAGTACCATTTAATAGAGATATATTTTATATAGGTGTAAAACTTGGGGTTTTTAATTAGAGTAATAATAGACTAGTTATCTACATGAATAACTATAGAATAAATTATTAAAATAGATATAGCTTTAAGGTGCTAAATATCTAGTTTAATAAATAATAATTAGAATTAGATTAATTTTTATATTATTATTACTTACGCGATATACTCACTTTTAGTTAAAAATAATATGATAGTAATCTATTTTTTTAAACTCTATAAAATAAGTTTTCTAGTAAGTTGGAATATATAGCCGGAGATTAATATTATATTAAAAAAATAAAAACTAGCCTAATTAATATTATAGAAGCTAATAAAACTAGGTCTGTTCTAATAATAGAAAAAATAATAGTTAAAAAAGCTAGTAAAATAATACTAGATAAGATTTATTATCTAAAGATATAATTTAGTAGGGTTACTTATAAAAAATAATAATTTATTTATTATATATGTAATATTAGGATATATATTAATTATAATCTAAATAAATATTTTATTATATTTTTAATATATTTTAATATTATTAGAATCTACTATTCTATTATACTTTGATAAAGGATTCTTAAAGTTATATAGTATAAAAGAAATCTTGTAAGTAGAAAGACTAAAATATTTTAAATAATTTTATATATATAATTTCTATAAAAGATAAATATCTTTATTTATTTATATAATATTAATATCTAGGAAGCAGATATAGAGACTATTATTAATAAATTTAATAAATTTAATAAATAATATTTTAAAAATATTAATTACAGTGTTATCTAGCGCAAGTAAAAGAATATTATTAATATAAATAAATATAAAAAGACTCTTTTCTATAAACACGGAGTAATCTATATATAAATACTTAAAATTATTAATTATTAAAAAATTATAAAATATATTATATTACTCGCGTGGCGCCTATTTCAAGCTATATAATAATTTAAAAAACTTATTATATATATTATTTTCCTAGAAACTATCTAGCAGTTTAATATATATTGATTTATATAATTTAATATTAAAAAAGACTATAATAATATTAAAATAATATAAGATTTAATAAAGCTTAATAACTAAGATAATAAAAGTCTTGAAGCTAATACTCTTAGTAATAATTATATATATTTTTTTAATTTAATAGTTTTTACTAGTATGTTGCTGGAAGCCTTTAATAATAAGATAAATTTTATAAATATTATTATATTTAATTTTAAATATTTATTTAAGTAAAAGAAGATATATATTATAGAAATATAGAACTATATAAAAAGTATTTTATTTAATTTATTCCTATATTTTGTGATATATTATTTTATATTATTTAAATATTTTAGTATAGGCTATAATATTAGTATATAAAATAGAAATATAGCTAATATCTTAAGATATTAGTTTCTTAGTAAAAGTATCTTTTCTAGTTTATAGATTAGCTAGATATTATATAACTATAGTTTCCAAGAATAGAATATTAATAAAATAATTATTAATAAGTAATTTATAAAAAACGTCGGTATGTATATCTAGATTATTATTTATATTAATAATATATAATTCTAAGGACTTGAAGAGGGCACGTGAAGATTTATAAATATATATAAAATAATATAAAAACTATTTAATCACTAGTAACAATTCTATATAGAAAATACTAATAATTAAAAAATCTATAATAATTAAATAATCTCTAGATTTATTATTTTTATTAACAACTACTGGTTCAGGTATAGTGTTATAAATAGTATTATTAAATATAAATAAAAATAAAAATATATTAATTTATTTATATTCTAGTAGCTAATCTAGCTCTTTATTATTATCTTATTTATCTATAATAAAATAACTAGAAAAAAAGACAGGGACAGACTATTAATATTAAAAAAATATATTAAATAATAACTAGTAATAAGAATCTTCTTAGATTAGAGCTTTTATATTAATTTTACTATAGTATATAGAATTAAGATTATATATAAATATTACTAATAATAATTATAAAATAAGTTCTTTATTAAAAATAATGTTACGGGCGTATATAATCTAATAAATTTAAATATTATAGATCTTATAGACTAATTTAGAGTATTTAATAAAGTGGTTTTTTTATATATAATCTTCAAGCTTATTATAAGTTTTTTTAAAAGTAAGATACTAGTAATAGTAGTTAAAGATTTTCTATTATAAAATATTTAATTATATTTTATATAGGGCTTTATAAGAAGTCTTTCTAATAGTATTATATATAAGTTTATTTTATATATAATTAATTATAAAAATAATATAATTTCATAGGAAATAGGGCAATTAATTATCCATTATAATTAATATATAAGATTTAATTAGATAATAGTTCTTAATCTCAGTAATAGGATTGAGATTTAAGTAGTAATATAAAATAGAATTCTAGATAATATTTTATTTTTAATAGTAAGTTATAAGTAGTTAGTATTTAAATATATTATTATTATAAATATATTTAATATTAATATCTAGCTAGTATTTGAGGTAATTTTATAAAATAATAAATTTATTATATATTTTACTATATTTTTTAAGTAAGAACACCCAGCAGTACTAAAAAATATAATTAGTAAAAATAATAAAGTAATATATATTAGTTTAGCTGTATATAAATAATAATTTATAAATATTTATATAAATAAGATTTTTAATATATAGACTAAGATTATAAGATTTAATATAAAAAATAAATAATATTTAATTTTTTTTATGGAGATAAGATTCACAGGATATTAATAAAATATTTTTTTTAATATTAAAGTTAATAATATATTTAATAAAATTATAAATTTTTTATTTAGAGGTATAAGCTATATAGCAGTATATAAAATAAATTAAAATTAATAAAGAAATTATTTTTTTAATAATATTAATAATAAGATTAAAAAATAATAAATATATTAAAATACCACAAAGATACAGATCCTAAATTATCTTATGGCTTGTAATATTGGTTATATATAAAAAATATTAAATATTTTTAATAGTAATAAAACTAATTTATTTATTATATTAAATAAGAATAGTAGTTTTTTAGTTTTAATATATATATAAATACTCTAGCGCGCTAACTACTTATATAAAATAAGATTATATAAGAGTACTAGTATGTATTAAGTATAGTTTATTTTTAAAAATTTATAAAATTTATTTTATTTATTTATTAATTTAATTAAAATAATACCATAGCTAACAGTCTGAAAGGTTTTATTAATAGTAGTTTTAACTATATATATATAAGAAGTAAAGAATATAAAATAATACTTTAAATAAATTATTATTTTAATAATTCTAGAGTTAAATATCTAATCATGCGAGTAATTTAGATATTAATTTTTTTAAATTATAATAATAATATTAAAATAAACTAATATAGCATAAATATTAAAAAAATTAAAATTAATATTAATTATATTAGCTGACAGTATTCCAGATAATAATATAAGTAAAATAAGTATAATAATTATATTAATTTAAATATTTATAATTATTTTTTTATTTAAATTTAATAAATACTTACTTAGAAAATAATTTCTATAATATTTATAAAAGATATACTATATAATATTCTTATTAATAATATTAAGTTATTTTTTTTTATATTATATAAAGATATTTATTTAATTTCTACTATAATTATAAATATTATTATATTTATAATTATATTTATATCTACAGCCGTAACTGCCGCGATTATTATTTTAAATATTATTATTAATATTATTAATATTATCCTGAGACTTATTATTAACTATATATATAATTAATTAAAAGAACTAATTCTTACATGTATATTTAAATTATATAAATTAAATATATATAGATAATAAGATTATATTTTTAATTAATATTATATATTAATTTATAATAAATAACTATAAGATAAATATATCCTAAATAACTATAAAAAACTATAAAAGTTTAATATAATTATTAATAATCTTAATGCTGCGAAGCTTATTAAAAATATTTATATAATATATAAAAAAGATTTCTTAACTACTTATATTATTATAGTAAATAAATACTTATTTATTATATAAATAGATAACTATAGTAAAGTTAAAGATCTCATATACTTTCTAGAAAAGAATATATACTTCTAGTATAGAGTTATAGTTTTAAAAATATATTATAAGATTAGTTTTATATATAATATTAAGAATTATAAATATAAAATAATTTAATTATTTCTATTTCTTACAGTTAGAGTTGTACGTAGTAAATAAAATATAATTATATTATTTAGTCTACTTAATACTATATTTTAATTCTTATTAAATAGATAGAATACTACTATCACTAGTATAAATAGCTAATATATATATATTTTTATCTTTATTCTTAAGATAAAGAACTAGTTCTTTTAAAAAAATATATTTATTTTAAAGTAACTTCCATATATCTAGATTATATAAATATAAGTAATTTCATAGGTTTCTTTACTATATTAACTAGTTAGTCTAGTCTTTAAACTTAGGAATAGCTTTAGAGACATCAATATTAAATAAGTCTTTAGATAATATTATTATAAGTATTTAGCCATACCGCTCGCGTGGTAAAAGATCTAATTAGTTAATAGATACTAAGTTTAAATACTAAGTTAACTAGATTACCGCGAAGGCTTTTCTACCTGTAAAATCACGTATAATAGCGATTTAAGATATAAAAAGTTTTAAAAAGGATATTATTTAATAAATAATGTATAAAAACAATAAAAGAGCAATAAGAAAAATAAATATTTAATGATTTATTACTATAAGAACTCATAACCTGTAATAGTAATATTAATGATATTAAATATATATTACCTAGCTAATTACGCGAGGAGGAGGTGACTGGGTGGCTAGGTCCGAGATCACGTGATCTCCTTTCACACCCCTGTCTGAGTAGCAGCGGCCCTGCTCACTGTCGCATCGATAACCTCCTTTGAGGGTAGCACGTGGTGAGACACGTGACGAAAACAGCATTGCTCTTGCCGGATTGATGACGGTTTAACGAGCAACAACTTGCGTAACACCACTAAAGTATGCTTGGAAATGGCAATACGGAAGATGAAGAGAAAGTGAGATGAGGGGAGAATGCCAGGTGGGGCATTGACCTGGTTGTCCGAATACTGAGAAACAGCACCAATCTGGACTTTCTCTCCGTCATCAATCCCACACACCCGCCCTCAGGGCTACCATCTTGGGTTCCTCATTGGTCTGATAACGAAGGTACCTTACGTTTCACACACATCGCCTTGACTACACAGGGCTTGAATGATTATAGGGCCGGTGGAGACATCGTCAGTGAGTTTGAGTTCAACGCGGATACCACAGAGCTTACTCTAGATGCTGCATTCATCGACTCCATCGACTACACTACGAAGGGTCATCTGGAGTGTAAAGATTACGCTAATTACGGACGATGGATCTATACGCATTCGCGCATTGTCTCTACCTGGGGAAAATATGGCAAGGATTCACTGGATGTTGTTAGCAGGACACTATGTGGTGATGTTGAACGAAATCGATATTCTAATGAAGGTTCCAATGTTCGTTCGGATCATGATTCTGGGAGATATCCTGATGATAACCGCGAGAGAGCATTTGACCCTTGGTGGATGATACATGGACCCTCACCACCCACGGATACAAATCACGACGATACGAGGATCAAGATGATTTTTGAGGTTGTCCATCCTATTTTCTCAGAAAGTCGTTCCTTCTCCATCACCGTCAATGGGTACACCTGCTTGACCCCGTGGTATACACGGAAAGGGGACAGCGTTGTCATCATGAAAGGCGGCCGTGTGCTGTACGTCGTGAGAAAGAGGGGGGATAATAAGTACACCTTCATCGGCGAGGCATATGTACATGGCTTAATGCATGGGGGGCGTTTGACGAGAATTCTGACGTGGCGCTCAACTTTGAAAAGAGTACGCTGGTGTAGGTGATTATCTCACCTCTTCCGGCCTATCAAGCACTATATAAATCCAAGACTTAAGTGCTATGATTCATTTCCACAACCTCTCCATATTCTTCTCTAGGACAGCAGCATTTCAGTCCAATACATTCAAAGAATCAGGTCCTCAATCACCCTAAACATCGCCGGCGCCCCACTATCCACGACTCTACCTTTTACATTTGCTTTTCTAAATACCAAAAGATCCGGTAGCGGTTTCCCCTTTGCCCTCCTCCTTGTATTTACAAAATTGTGTCCGATATTGCATAAGAACAACCCAACCCTCTCTTTCATCTTTCCTATCGACCTCCCCTATACTCCAATCCTTTTGTACAACACAGACATCATCTTATCTTTCCCCTCTATAATCATTGAGCCGCCAAAACCCTGTCTGCATATCCCCAGCCACACAGAACCATTTCAACCCACCTACATGTAACCCATCTCGATTCTTTCTCATCGAACAGTTAAATCATCCGGTCTCCCTACGATATATTCCATCAACTGATCCAACTTCATCCCAAATTCAACCTACCCACAAGCTTTCTAACCTCCTACTCACACAGCACCATCACTCCATACACCCTAGGCTATTGAAGAACCCTTCACGTGTATTACCTTTACATACGATGGGTCGGAATTTTGGCTTTCTCTTTTTCTTTTTCTTTTTTCGTTATTTTTTTTTATGTTTGATTATTACTTCCTGGCCAATAGGCAGGCTTTGTCATCTTCCTATTGGGCTTCGGTGAATTGGACATGTCTTACGTATCTAGATAGAATTCTAATAGAATCGATTTTGTTGGGTGGGTGGTTACTATATAATTGTATGACCTCCCTTGTATACACATAGCTTTTGTGTTGTTTTATTGGGAGATTAAGATGTTGTGGTATGGCCTTCTGGCTATATATTCTTGCTTTGATGAGATGGGTTCATATAGCTGGCATCCTATCCGGTGGCTCCTTTAAGCTAATAGAAATGATATGATTTGACTTTCATTTACTACTACTATTGGCATAGTAGTACTGGAGACTAATACTGAATGGAGATATTCGGTATATGAGTCTTATTACATACCATTCAACAAGTCTGTACTCCGCCACGTCTAGTCTAATCTCTCCAATCTATCCATATATATACACCCCAAGACAACCTAAATCAACATCCAATCTATACCTCCCGCTCCACCAATCCACCACTCACCACTAAGCCCTCTTCGCCTTCGTCTTCTTGTTATACGGCCTGACCCTAAAGATATAATAAAACACAATGGCGGCACAGATATTAAACACGAAATAAGCCCAGAAGATGCCATAATTCCTCCAGCGATCATCCCAAGAAATCTCCCTGCCAGCGAGATACTGATCCGCGGAGCGAAGAGAACAATACTCGCAGCCTTCCGTCGCGTTGGGGTTGTTCAATTTACCCGCTGCGGTGGTGAGGTAGGTAGCGAGGTATTGACCGCAGGTTTCGCCAGAGGGGGGATTGAAGACGCTGAGTTCGCTGTTGGAGCAGATGATCGGACGGCCATGGAGGGCCGTACTGGCGATTCCGCCGATGTAGTAGGAGAGCGGGGAGACGCGCCACATGAAGATCCAGAAACCCGGGAGGGCGGAGGGGGGTTGCATGACGCCGTTGAAGATGAGGGAGAGACCGAACATGAAGACGGCGAGCATGCCGCCGAGGGCGGGATCGGGGAGGGCGCTGATGATGAATTGGGCGAAACTGGAGGCGAAGATGTAGAATTGGATGACGAACAGGAGGATGAGACCCATGCGGTCGGAGGTCTGGTCGGCTCCGAAGACGGCAAAGTAGAAGGAGGCCCAGGCGCAGATGGCGAGGAGGATGTGCCATGGGATTTCGGCGAGGAATTGGGCGATGATGAAGATTTTCCAGGAGTAGACTTTCGATGGGCGTTCCCGGACTTCGTATAGGGCACGGTTCGCGACGAAGTGGGGCATGATTCTGGGAGAGTTAGTGGTTGATGTTGAGTATGGAAAGCTGGCACTTACTGATTAACCAACGTGGTGAAGATAGTACACAGCAAGAACAAGCTGAAAAGAACATTTTGAAAGCCTTGTTGAGAGTCGTTGGACTGCCAGAATGAAAAGCCAATGAAAAGACCGGACACGATACCGAGCACGAATTTGGCCAGGACATATTCAGGCTGTCGGTAATACTGCTGGAAGACTCGAAGGGTCACATAGTAGAATTGGCTGTGAAGAGGCATGGCAAACTCCGTGTTGCTTTCCTCCCGAGGCTGGACCGATGCGCCCTGCTGGCAGATACGATCCAGTTCAGCATAGAGCTCTTGGCGCTGGGGGCTGTCATTCCAGGTTTGGACCCAGTCGATAGTCGACTTTCCAGATGCACCAGCTCCGATAATGTCCAACATGTATTCAGCGGGCTAAGATATTAGTACGCAAAAGAGATAATAGCTGGATGGAACTCACATTCTCGGTGGTTTCGCAACGTCGGGCGCCGTTGCTTTGGAAATAATCCAACAAGGTCTGCGATTGCTGACCAATGTCACCAAAGTACACGGTTTTACCACCCTTGGCCAGGAACAGCAGTCGATCGAAATGCTCAAAGAGCAGAGCACTAGGTTGATGAATGGTGGCCAACACAGCTTGTCCGTGGTGTGCGAGCTTCCTCATAAAGGTACAAATAGCCCATGCACTCTGGGAGTCGAGACCACTAGTAGGCTCATCCAAGAAGATCAGGAGCTCTGGCTTGGCAGCCAACTCGACACCGATACTCAAAAGCTTTCTCTGGCACACGTTCAGACCATTGCCAGGATTTCCGACAACGGCCTCGGCGAAGTCTTCCATGTCAAGCATTTTGATCACCTCTTCCACATAGTCATATTTCTCTTGCAGCGGAACGGACTTTGGCTGGCGTAGAACAGCGCTGAAGCGAAGTGCCTCACGGACTGTTGACTGCGCCAAGTGCATATCCTGTTGTTGAACATAGCCCACTTTGCGAGGGAAACTCGCGTTTAGCTCTCTGCCATTGACGAACAACTCGCCAGTGATGACTCCGAGTGAGGCTCTCTGTGCGAGGGTATCCAATAGAGTGGTTTTTCCTAAAGGCTCGTTAGACGTCAATCATTCATAAAGCTCGCGATCAGTTGACATACCAGCTCCACTAACGCCCTATGATTTCACGGTTAGTGATGAATTTAGCATGGACTAGGGTAGACATACCATGAGAGCTGTCAGGGTTCCTGGCTTGACGTAACCACTAACATCATCAAGCAGCCGCCGTGTCCCTTCCTTGACTGGAATATCGTAGCATAGGCTTTTCCAGGTGAAGATCTCCTTCTGCTGCGGAATTTCTGCCGCCCCGAGGCCGGACTCTCCCGTTCCCTCAGAGGTCATCTGTCCGGGTTCGGCTCCAGCTTCTTCGTCGTTTTGCATATGGGCGGGCACATGTCCAGGACGGAAGACCAGTGCTTCAGCCGTTTGTTTTGCACCGGGAGAGAGCTCAGTGACTGTCAAATACAGTGCGTTGAAGAATACCAGGAAAGCAATCAAAATTCCATAGTTTCTCCACAGATGTTTGTATGTGTACTCGTAGTTGAGAGAAATGAACTCGTCTCCAGATACAGTTCGTGCTCCTGCCACTGCGCCAACCGCAGAGCAGATAAAGGAGTCTCCGCCAAGAGTGGCGTAGTTGGGAATGAACTCCGAGCATTCGAAATTCCGACCATGAAACTCGTTTGCGACCAGGGCTTCGAATGAGTAAAAGATGGGATTGATCCACCTGATCCAGCTGAACCATGGATGCATATACGGCTGAGGCAGGGTAAAGCCTGTATACACAACCATACAGATGACTGAGATTCCTGCCAATGCCATAGCCTGGCCAATGCTTTTCGTTAGGGCACCGAGGCTTCGGAAGATACCGGACATCGTGACAATAGTTGTAATCAGAAACAGGATGTATATGAAGAATTGGGATGGCTCTCGCCGCAGATTAGACATGAAGTAGAGGATGATGCTAAAGCAGATACATCTGAAGACCTTAATCGGAAGATCCAGGATGATCGACGCCAGCGCTTCAGCGAAAGGATGCACGAACGCGTACCCAGCCTGCTTTTCGACAATAGGGCGTTGGGCATATAGTGACATGATCTCGTTGATAGTAATCAAAGCATTCATAAGGACTGAAAAGTATAGCGTTGCTCCCTTCTGAAAAAATCCAGCGGTGGCGTTTGGTGTGTTGTAGAAGATGGATCCAATGATTAATGCGAGCGCAACCTGGACAAACACGGTGATCAAAGTGGTAGGCAGGTCATTGCGGGTCCTCTGATACGCCCGGCGAAGACATAGCGAAATTTGCATGGGAATCGAGAGGAGATAAGGGCTCTTGGGGCGCACATGGTTCGCTTGCTGCGCCTGCTTGCTAGTGCCGAACCTGTTCTCCCATTGAGCGTCCGGAGTATACTTTGCTTTGTAACCCTGCATCTTAACCCGCAGGGCTTGGTACTCAGGGCTCTTCTTCCAGTAAGCCTCGAATTCTGCTGGTGTCCGTGGGACTTTGTCTGCCATCTCCCGCCGAGCCACTCTTTCACGAGGATTTGTGACAGACGTTAAGAAGTCAGGCGTAATTTGTTTGAGGGGTCGTTCCCAGCCCATCTCTTCAAAGTACCGGCCTGCCTGTTCGATCGGGCCGTAGTAGATTTGTCTCCCTTCATACAACACCACAACCTGATCAAACAGCCCGTACATGGACTCCGATGTTTGGTATGCGGCAACAGCATGGACAGAACCGACAAGATCAGAAGAAAGACGAAGAGCTTGGACGAATTCCAGGGCCATTGCAGCATCGAGGCCCCGTGTACTGTTGTCCCAGGCACCGATAGGAGCATGCGATAAAGCCATCTCAGCAATACTAGTCTTTTCAGTATCTATTCTACTGTGGCTTGTTTCAAGGAGACTTACCTCACTCGCTTTCGCTCACCGCCACTGACACCACGAATAAAGTCATTTCCCACCTTAGTATTATACGTATGGGAAAGCCCGAAAAATGCCATGATTACCTGCACTCTAGTTTTGACATATTCAGCTCGACTCATGCCTCCGATCCGGTTCTGGGGTGCACGTGCGTGGGCAGCAAACTCGAGCGTCTCGCCCACAGTCAGGTGTGGAAAGTGCTTGTCGACTTCTTGGTTGTACAGGATCTCGCCTCGGTATTCCTTGATCATCTGGGGAAAGGCGATGCCTTTGTATTGGACATTGCTTTGAGGGTCTAGGTCCAGACCGTTCAGATGCCCACTGATGGTCTTCAAGAAAGTAGAGCATCCACTGCCAGGTCGACCCAAAACAAGCAAAAGCTCCCCACTCTCCAACAGTCCATCATGGTTGTGTAGAATCGTCCGACGATTGCTTTTCTTTTTACGAAAGGCTGATGTCACCAGGTTTACCGGAGCAGCAAGAGTGGAAAGGACAGTCTGTTGAAGGTGAACGGAAGATCCCGACCCATGGACACTCAGGTTCTCGAACAAAATGCCTTGCTGGCGTGCATCGATATCCTCCGCGTCCAAGGCCCGAATTGTAACCTTGGCCCATTTGTATGGATCAAACTGAGGACTGTCTGGATCCAGCGCCTTCTCGTTGGTGATAACGGCCGCAAGGGATTCGTTATGTAACTCGGATGCGATGTTGGTGAGGGCACGACGTTGCTCATTGGTGACCACACTTGATGCGGTCTGGGTCCTCGTTATCTGCAGGGTGAGGTCATCCCCATCTTCTCCCTCCTTCTGGGATGGATTCATGGTTAGGAAATGGCACCCTCGTCTGGCGCAAACGAATGACTAGGGTGAATCGGGAAAGGTAAACATCAAGTCACCACGACCGGGCGAAGTCGATATTTAGTAGTAGTTCATCTTTTCCAGCATCTACGCAAGGTTGCGGCCACGCCCATAGGTATCGTGCAATAATCTCCAAGTGGAGCCGGTTGGATCCTTAGCCGACCCACTCCAGGGGCGAGTCCACGAATTTTCGATGTGACCGGATGTGGTCATGTCCGAGAAGTCAAGCAACACCAGTCCCAGGGCTCGCACGCTGCCAGTGCCGACCGAGCATAAAAGTTGTGTGCCAACGAGCGTGCCACTTGATGGACCACATCGGCATTCGGTCATAGCTGGTCCGATCAGATCCATGAGAAGCATCCCCACTGGCTAAGATCTTTGTTCCTTTTGGTTCCCCGGGGCTCAGCGTCAGAGTCAAATCGATGCCCAGGGTCGGACACGGAGTGCCCGACTGACCGACAGTGGGTCTAAAGATAGTCACGGCACCCCAACCGCTGACACCCTGAAAGTCCACACCTTGGATTAGCCAGCAACGAAGACACTTGGACTGCATCAGATCCAGTTATTGCCGGATTTAAGATCGGAATTAAAAATACTGCGGGCGTAAACCCCGACTGAGTCACTGAAAGCACTCCATTTCATCCCTTCTAGCCAGACCAAAACAATACAATGGAAACCCTTCCGGTGAGCCGACATGCTCAACCCGATCCGATTGCTTGGCTAAAATCCTCCGAGACTGAGTTGACGTACTCCACATGCTGCCCTACCATTTCTTTTTGAGACGATTCCAGCCCCTGGATAACTCCAAGCGGATTCACCTCGATCCGTCCCTTTTCGGCCCATTTCGTTCGGGCGACAAGCGCCGATGTCCCGTAGAATATCGCGTCGATCTCCTCGAGCCGCCGGCCGGTCGTCTCCGGATAGAAGAGATAGATCGTCGGCACGAAGCAGAAATTAAATACCGTAAATACCAGATACCCCTTCCACCCCTGCTGGCTCATCAGTGACGGTGTCATCATGACGGTGGCGAAGTTCCAGAGCCAGTTCGACGACGTCGTAATGGCGGTGCCTTGGGAACGGAGGTGAAGAGGCATGATCTCTGCGTTGTACAGCCAGGGAATCGCAAGGTATCCTAGTGCAAAGAAGGTATAGTATAGAAAAAAAGCGATGATGCAGATGATCGAGGCTGCAAACGTGCCTGACCGAATTGTCAAGGACATTGTCAGGAAGCAGCAGCCCATGCCAGCGGCGCTAATTATCATACACCGCCGTTTCCCGAGACGATTAATCACAAAGAACGGTATGAATGCCGATAGCAAGTACCAGAGGCCGTTAAACCCGGACAACAGGAGTGATAAGTTATGGCGGAGGCCGACGGAGACTTCGAACAGGTACGAAATGTAATACCCGATACTGCAGACGCCAGACCACATCACCATGAACATCAGCCTGCATATGATACATCGTCAGCGGAACAAGCAACACGATTGGTCGGGGATTCTTACCACCAACCCAGCATAAGACGTCGGAGATTTTGTGTACGCGGTTCATTCTTGAAAAGGTCAACCCATCTGGTCGCTTCATGGATTGCTTCAAATTCGACTGCTTGCTGGATCAACCGAGCCTCTGCCTCAACTTCACTTTGGTGTTCGTCAGATGTGCCATGCATTCTCATCAATGTGCGAAGCCCTTTTCCTCTGTGGCCGTGAACAAAGTTCCATCTCGGGGACTCCGGCATCCACGGCACTGGGACATTAGCTGTGGGGTCGACATTACAAATGCTCAGCAAAACCTACCAAGGCATAGTATCATCACCGCAAATATAAGCTGCGCTCCAACTAGGAAGCGCCATTGAAAAACACTATTTGCCGAAAAAGAAAGCGCATATGCCATCCAGTAGCTGATGGTTGTGCCGGTGCAAACCAGAACGTACTGGATGGCGCCAAATTTTTCACGCTTCCTTGCTGGAAGGGTTTCAGCTTGCCATACTGGAATAACAGAGGTGTTCAGCCCTGTTCCCGTCCCTGCCACGATCCGCCCAACGATGAACTGAGCGGGAGAATATGCGGCTGTCTGGATGACAGCACCGACTGAGATTATAATTGTGCCAATTAATATGGGCTTCTTTCGCCCCAGTTTCTCACTAAAGAATATGCTGCTAATGCAGCCAAAGAAGCATCCGAGGGTATAGAGACTCGACAAGAGGCCCTGCATAAAGGTAGACGGGTCGTCCATGACTATAGGGAAGTCTTGCGATAGTCTATTGGTCAGCACGGGAACCTGTGATGGAAATCGCAACATACAGTACTCCTGACATGAATCCCTGGTCATAGCCGTACAGGAGGTATGAGATGCCGCACGTGACGGTCATCATGATACAGAGCAGTTGGCCCTGGAGTTTCTCCATCCTCGCGAACGGTCGTGCTACGCTCTGCGTATTCCAAAAAAATAATTTTGATTCCTAGGCTCCGAAACGTGAGACTGCTGCAAGCTCAACACATTTATCAATGATCACGCCCCACAGCTTCCCCAGATTGTCCCACCTTACCCCAGACCCGGATATAGACCTTTTCGGAACAACTGGGATATTTCTCCGGACCTCGAACGATCGGCAAATCATTCATGAGATACTGGCCAAAGGGAATAGGTTGTGACCTCTTTTCCTTGATCGGACCCATGTAAAGAGAATAAAATGCGGGGTGAATGGACCTGGGGGCCTGTTACGTGGAGAACCAACTGTGGAGACAACGCCCTCAGGTATCTTCGCAGTCGGTGATACTACGAGCTTGGTCATTGGCCTAGGACACTGACTAGGCTTCTGTTTGGTGTCTTCACAGGGCCTGAGGCTACCCCTGCCTCTGATCAGCATAGGGAGGTCGAATAGAGGAAGATCTTGCGGGGTAATGCACAACGCAATGAGTCAGAGATTAGCCGACGGTTATCTCTGCCTTGACACTCCTCGGTTGCAACACGTATGCAAATCCCTTTTTCTGTGCGCAGCACGCTTCGCATCCGGGTCCGGAGAGTAGGCGCAGTTCGGATGCATCTAGTAGGTATCCAACCCAGTGTCATCGAAGTGCTCGTAGTTGGTATGGAAGTCAATGCTGTCAGGACCCCCTCCAGTTCAGCATCTTCTTTTGGCAATAAGCCGAATAATTACTAGTCGGTACTTTCGCTTCTTGCGTCGACGCAAATGCTGCCATCCACAATCAGCATGTTCCTGTTGTCAACAAGCCCTGTGCGCTCTCTATTCTCTTCAAATATCGTGAATCTCCCCGAGCTATCGAGGTTACTTACCAAATTTGCTGCGTCTAGCAGACAGTGTCATCCGAATGTTGAAGGGGAAAATAGCCATGAGGTGACGTCGGATACAGGTATCCCCTACGATATTCCGACCGTATATAATCTTGGGACCTGATGCCATAAGCTCCTTGGAAAAGTATTTTGGCTGATGGGTTCCCTTTCGTAGTTGACTTCTCTCAAGTGACGCCTGATACTACATATATTTCTGCGGGACATTAGCCATCGTGAAATACGACATCTGGGAAAAGCCTTTTATCCCAACCATCTCCAAAACAGACAGAAATTCTCACCAAAGTCTCCCAATCCTGTAGACGAAGAAGTCCATGAATATCTTATCAACGTCGCGCATCAGTAAGCATCCTCTTTCGAGAACAACTGTCGCGATAAGTCGCGAGGGATGTCGTCCCTCTCGTGCTCCATTATGCCTCCAGGTTTTTGATCCCGAGTATAGCTCAGTGGTTATAACAGACGAAGGTCATAGCATGGCAATAAACAGTGATGGTATCGATGAAGGCATTTCTCCAATTTTTTACTCGAAGTACACTACTACCTCAACTTAATGTTAGCTCGATTCATAGACTCATTGGCAAAATATCCCGACCAGAAAAGGCATGCGGTAATGAAAGCAATCCCTTAGAAGATAGTATCTTACTCACTTCAGTGTGGCCAGTCTCAGCTCACCTGAGCGTGCACCCTCTACACTCTCAGCCATGAACTGCATGTTTGACGCCTATCTTGGAACACAGAAGCAACTATATAATGATTGCTTGGTAACAGGAGTCCTCGGACCCAAGTATGATGATAGTAACAGGAATCTTGATAAAGACTGATGGAGGATGGTTCAAGCCCGCTGTCGCAAGGCTGAATGTTATGTTCGACTCGGGAGGCTAAGACATCTCTCACAGTGCATTGCATGCCAGTCAACAGCTGGCCTGAGGCATGAATCTAGTGATGCCTTAGGACGCATATTTTGATGCTACATAATTCTAGGCACGAAGTTTACGATGTATCCAGCCAGAAGCATAGTGCTCTGTCATTGCGAATGATGTAACTCGAGGTATACCTGGCCACATGCATTCGATCCAATTCGTTTGTTTAGATACATGACAAGTAAACCGATAGTTTCTTATGATCACGAGTAATGATATCAGTGCTGGTACGCGCTATGGTTCTTTTATCCTCGAAAGAAGAAGACTAGAATTGGGCTGAAAGGTAGCCAAGAAGATTCACCCGGTTGTTGGTTCAGACAATCCATGGAGCACATTTGTGTCCCTATATTAGTTATGTGATAAGCGGCTATATGAATTCTATCACGGAGCAATTCCGTCGCTTTGCAGACCATTATCAGCACCTCAGCCAACAGGTCTGTGCAACAGCTTACTATTATAGATCCGTCTACCGAACATGGAGCAAAAATTGCTGCCTAGCAAACGCATGCATGCAGACCCCCTTTTGTACTTGCTGTGTGGTTTCTGATGTCCAGTCAACCTAAGGGGCTCGTCGACACAACGAGGAGGGTAAAGCAGGGAAATGTAAGCTGTGGAGCTGTCAAGGTCGCCAAATGCCACCACATTCGGCAGAGATAAACGTGGCCAGCGGGACACCTCGGACACGGCTGACTAGCGCGGTCCTTCATGCTGCAGAATTAGCCTGATTGACGCAAACAGCAGGACAAACCCGGATAGTCCGGAAATTGCGGGGTAGAGTTTCGTGGAGGGTCGAAAAATAGCGGAAGATTTGCTATCCAGACTCTGTGCCGTTGCTAATGAGAACCATGCCTGTCTTGGCCTGCGAATGAACACGAGTTGCAAGATGATACACTTTCAATAATCTCACTGACGAATACTCTCCCAATAGTGGATGCAATATGTCTCTATATGAACTTGAATATTAATTCCAAAAGCTGTATGGAAATGTGGCACTGTGCAAAAACGAGGTCAATTGCATCGGCTAATTTCGGTCCTGGCTAGATCGTTTCATACCGGACGTTAGAACCGGTGATTGTAGCACTTTCTGCCAGTCATGCAGCATCACCGTGTTGACAGTAGAGAGGCTGACCTCGCCGCCCGCTCGGGCGATCATTTCGTCTTCATAGTCTGCTATAGCGCTCGCCTGGGTCGCCGTTCCACACACCATGCGTCGCACCGCTTCCACTAGGTTGGCTGCGTCCGTGATCGAATGATTTAAACCCTGGCCACGCTGATATGTCATTGCGTGTGCTGCATCGCCGGCCAATGTTACCCGCCCCCCGTGATTATCCCACCTGTGGTCCTTGGCCCGCGGGTCGAAGTCACTCAAGCCCATGTACCAAGCTTGGTGATCATCCGGCAGCCATTCGAACGCGCTCCTCCAGGGGTCGGTAAATGACTGGGCAAACTTTTTGACTTGCTTTAGCCGTTGGGAGTTGGTCCAACCAGCTGTCTCTTTCTGCTCTTGTAGAGATGAATGCCATGATATGTAGAAGAAAAAGGTCCAGGTTTCAGGTTTATCGCGGTCTGTCGCATCATGTACGCCGAAGAAAGAAAAATACCCCTCGGGGTTGATTCCAGCAAGGTAAAGAGGGTGGAACTGTCGCAGAAATCGAGCACGCTCAGCGGAATACTGCGCCTGAACGAACGTTGCGCAGTAAGGAAGCCGGCGGACCTGTCCCAGACCAGGCCCCAGTAGGAGCTGCCGTGTTTTCGACTGGGCTCCATCAGCGCCTACTATAAGTTTAGACAAGAGAGATGAACCATCTTCGAATATTGCAACGGCATATTGACCATCGGCGGAATATTCGATTGCATCGAGCTTCTTGCCGTATCGAACATCCAACCCTTGCTCCATGAGATCTCGTAACTTTCGGCGACGTAGTCGATAGAAAAGGCGCGCGGGTATGGACGCCATGATCTCTCCCGACTGCCCGTTGAAGAATTTGAGAGCATCATGTTCTGCCGTGGGCTCATTGGGGTCGACTTGCACTGACTGAATGCGCGCCCATTGCTCTTCTGACAGGAGAGCTTTTAATGAACTTGCACCCCAGTGCAAGCCCATGTTCCAGTCACGGGATTGAGCATGAAGGGTCTCATGTTTTTCTACCACGATGGAAGGAATTCCAGCCTATCAAAATGATCAATTTAGATCAATTTATCCAACAAGGTATTAATCTACCTTCCGTAAGCCCTGGGCTAAAGCGAGTCCAGTTGAACCTAATCACTATCAGTCCGATTTTGCAACCCAGAATGCAGACTCGTTCGTCCAGTGCGGCAAGCCTCACCTGCACCCACAATCAGAACCGTGGTAGAGAGCCTTGGCTCGGAAAAGGCCAGCATATTATTCAGATGCAAATTTGCACAGCCCTAAGTGGGTAACGAAATCCCAGCTTTGGCACAAAGATGCGCCAGAACAGACAACAGGTGGAGGAGAGGCAGATGGCGTGGACGTGTCAAAAAAGACATCACGACTGAAATAGAGTTCACACGCAGGCAAGGGTAATGATGGGCTCCGCGATTCATGACCCTTGTTGTGATTTGTCGATCGAGCCCTGCCAATCGTGCGGACCTCTCCGGCAAGACGCGGTGGACCCAGGGTACAAACCTCCTCATGCTATGATCTAATTATGTAGGCGGAGGTATTAACGCCAGTAGCTGAGCAAATTGTCCAATATGCACATTATCTCAAATGCTGCTCCATGGTCAGTCCAACACTTGGCTGCAGACACAAGGGCCAAGAACAACTGGTCGTGCTAGCTGAACCAGATAAGCGGCCCATGAGGGGGCCAGTACGAGGCACGGGTTGTTGAAATCCCACTTCGACGGACTTGACACCCGCTTTCTCTAAGATTATAGGCCAGCAACTATTGGCGAAGTTGTTAGTTCACTTTCAAAGGGCGATAATGCTGAGGAGAAAGACTGACTGAACTGATGACGTCGAAAGCCATCATCAGTGCGTGCGTGGAGGCGGAGGGGGCGTCTTCCCCAATTTCCCGCTGCACAAATGCCGAGATGCAGGACTGAAAGTCTGAAACAGCAAGAGGAGGCCGAGATCGTCATGGCTCCTCATTCTCATCCAATAAAGTGCCACTTTGTTCTGCCGATTCTTCAGCCAAATGCGAGCCGACTGACTAAGGCCCTGAAGGATCGGTGGCGCTAGACTGGAGGCGGTCTAGCAAGTCATCTGCACCTCATGTGACCCGCATTGCTTCCGATCGGAAAGAACTTGTAAGGGCCACGAGCGAGAATCGCAGTCAGTAGGACCCGAAAGGGGCAGCTACCATGGCCGAAGCAGAACTCAAACCGTCACAGTCACCAATGATGGTTAGGCATGTGACACACCGCCTTGCTATGTAACCAGGTCTCCGAGGTCCCCGAGGGGGGCCGACACGACCGAGAGCCGATTAAGCAGGAAACTAAACCGAAGTGGGCAGGTACCATCTGTCCGTTCAACAGCTTCACCGTTCCACTACTGCAATCAAGAATAAACCTTCATCTCCAGCACGGAGTCATGCAGACCGCTCAGGATCCGCCGCTCCTTCCAACTTATGGCTTCCCCTTTCTCCTCAATCCCCTGATCGGATCTTACCACTTCCCAGCTCTCCGCTGTCACTATCGCAACCCCGACATTTATTCTCAGAACTTTAAATCCACATCTCCTATCTAAAGTTGCCGGGTCGTCTTCCAGTCTGGCAGCCTGGAAAGTCGTTTGCACCGCCCCAGCCGTTCGCGTGCCCCGTACGGAGTAGATCTCCGCAACCGTCGACTGATCTTGGCTTCCGATCGCCGCCATGACCTCCCGCTGTGAGGAGCATAGCCTTACGACTGAGAACCCCTCGAGTTTCTTCACAGATACCCCACAACGGCAGTCTTCTTCCGCCGACATGTCGGCCCCTATGAGCGACGGCGAGGCTGATGTTGGCGATGATGACTCGGCCTACGGAGGGGACTCGTTGATCGGAGATGACACCATGACTTTGTCCACTTACATCACCGACTACCGATACGAGTATGGTCGTCGCTATCACTCGTATCGTGACGGCGCCTACTGGGTGGGTTGTCTTGTGGGGGTGAATATCCGTGTCCGTTGGCTAACATGCGGATTCAACATAGGGGCCGAACGATGACATTGCCAACGAACAGCAGGATCTGGCGCACCACATGTACTGTTTGACTCTCGATGGGAAGCTGCACCTGGCACCGATTTCAAATCCACAGGTATGAGCGTTGCTTGGAGAGCAATCGGCAGGTCTAAGAATGCCTTAGGAAATCCTGGACGTCGGCACTGGAACCGGAATTTGGGCAATGTGTGTGACACGATGCGCTGAAGATTGCGAGTGGCAATTGCTGACTACGTCCAGTGATATGGCAGATGAATATCCCAGTGCTAAAGTTACCGGGGTAGACTTGTCTCCGATTCAGCCTGCTTTTGTCCCTCCGAACTGCGTCTTCGAAATCGACGACGTGACCCTCCCTTGGACCTACCGTTCGAACCAGTTTGATTTCATCCACGTGCGGGAATTATTCGGCTGCATACCTGACTGGGATGAGTTCTTTCGGCAATGCTGGCGTTGCCTGAAACCCGGGGGCTACATTGAGGTGGTGGAACATTCAGTGGAACCGGTCGCGGATGACGGGAGTGTGACCGCAGATCACTTCTACCGGCTCTGGGGTCAAACAGTAATCGATGCTGGAGAGCAGTTCGGCAAGACGTTCCAAATTTGGGAACAAAGCGCGACGCGTCTGAGGAACGCGGGTTTCGTTGAGGTGGTGGAACAGAGGTATCAATGGCCGATGAATGGGTATGTTGCAGCCTACTCCTACTCCCTGGTGCGTCTAACCATTCATAGATGGAGTACCGATCCTAAAGCACATGAACTTGTGAGTATTGTACACCTTTATAGCACTATTTACTAACAAGAATAGGGCCGCTGGAACCAGCTTCGACTGCACGGCGGGGTGGAAGGCTTTATGCTTCGTCTTCTCACTTCCACGCTGGAATGGTCATATGAGCGGGCCCAGTTGTTCCTTGCGCAGATGCGCAGCTCCCTCCGCGACTACCAGACACGGGCGTATCTACCAGGAACGGTAGTTTACGCTCGAAAGCCCGACAACTTTGTGGTTTCACGGGATTGACCGTGTACCTTCATGACTTTAGTTTTTAGCATTATACCCCACGACTGATGTACCATATACGATAAGAACGAGTGTTATTCATAATGCCACGACGACCTACTGATATTTAAATTTTAAGATTTCCCGGACTCTTTTTATAACTTAGAACACATATCGAAATAGAATGCATAATTTAGGCTCTTGTAATAACCTGGTTCGGACATTGAAGTCTCTCACACGCTGTAATCACCGCTCATTCCACCAAGAATTATGACACAATCAGCCCAAATTGAACCCCAGTCATATTCAGAACCATACCAACAATAAAAGTCAATGACACAAAATCCCCTCTACCCCGCGGAGAAAATAAAAGAGACGGGTAGATCCCTGTCCCCCACGTGTTTATTGCATTAGCGTAGCCGCCATTCGAGGCGGGGACTGCATCCCCATCCGTCCCGTCCGCATCCCCGTTTAAGATCATGAAGCCCAAAAGTCATATGCATCAATTGCAATCCAGACCCTGAGATACTTTCTAGAACCCATTTCAAGGTATGAGCCCTGCCTCCCCATCGTCCAATCCATAAGAGCCCCCATCCCCCCTATCACCGCGAAAGTCGAAGATCGCTTCAATGTGATTAAGCGGCAAACTATCCTCAATGTCGTTTTCCAGTATCCATCTTTCCCAGGAATTTCCCTCCCCTCAACTCTGTCCCTAGAAGACAAACAGCACAGTTATAAATTGAAAACAAGTGGGGGAAGGCCTCCCCAACACCCACCTAAAGCAAACCAACTATTCACCACCAACATATCCTACGACTTCAACAACCCCGGCCATGTTCACATCTTCTTTCTGATGATCCTATCGATCGGTTTCCTTGGGGCTCAATGCCAGTTAGCAAAGTAATCTCATCATACTCAACTCTACTCAGCCATTAACTTTCGGGGAATGGTGTTGTGTTTCTATCCGGAAGCTCTGGCTGTGTATTCGGTCTTTGGTGTAGATAACACTTTATCTACCCGTTCTTCAACAACATCCGATATGGTGTAGTGGCTAACATCGCCGTCTCTCACACGGCAGCCGGGGGTTCGATTCCCCCTATCGGAGCTCAATTTCTCTTTTTGTTTTTTTTTACTGTTCTTTTCATCTGTTCATCTTTACTCCGTCCTGCTTGGGTGGTTAATAGGGTCATTGTCGTTCTCATCTTCTCATTTTGTCCGGTGTGGCTATCAGGGATCGCTTCGGAATTTGAATACTCGCAGTACTCGAGCTCGATATTTTGGTGTCACATTGTGATTGGTTATATGCTAAGATGTATGCAGGACGTGATACAAATCTCTAATCTGTTCGTTGAGATATATATGCTGAAGAGGGGGAAAGAAGTCAGAGCCTTGTATGCTTTTTTTTTTAGATTTTGTCTTTATTTCTTTAATTAGGATGACAGTGACTTTGATTATCCAGATTCAAAAAATGATTTGATTATCTTTTACTAGTGTTGTTACAATCTTCAATAAAAGGAAGAATCTTCGCCCTTATTCATGAGAAGATAATAAAGTAAGATACATCAATTTACATATACACAAGACGAAAGGACATTTACGATGAGACAAGGCAAACAGAATGATGTTGGGAGATAGATAGATAGTGGAATGGTGTCAAGAAATCGATGATGTTGTGGGAGCAGGTGCCAATCATGTTGATAATCATCGACCGCCGCCATGGTATATCTCGACAAGCTGGTTACTGATTTCGCTCTGCCGATCCACCTGACTGTGGTACACAGTTGGCGCAAGCGCCATGTAAGTGGCCCTTGGAGAGCAATTATTTCAACGTGCAGATGGTCTGTGACTATGCTCGTTATAACGATATCGTGATATATATTCTTGGGTAATTCCTCCTTCCAGATTTAGATGCACTCAGAATAAACATCTTGAGAACATCGTAGGTACTCAGGACAGGTAACTCCGTATTCGGGAATTGTGTAGGTATATCGGAGCCTGGGATAGTTGAATTATTATTTATAACACGCCTTCATGCTGGACCCATTTACCAATCACGCCACTTAGGGACGTATTCCAACTGCAGGAGCCCACTTCTGAGGCACATCTTGAGTGACCCTCTCAAGCCAGACCTCATGGTTCTGCCGTAACGTATTCATGACCCAACAACTTGCCAAGGAGAGACATATACCAGCACAGTCAACTGAACTCGGCGATGTTAGTCTGAAATTTGAGCGATAAGTTCCCAATGTATCCCAGCTGAAACAATCCTGGACAGTATCTCCCTTGTGCTCAGTGTATAGTATTCTCAAAGCCATCAACGCCTTTCCACTTTGTGCCTGATCAAGTAGATCCATGCATAAATGTCCTAATAGCAGCGAAGATCTGCAAGTCTTCTAAAGTTGGCGTCTCAGGGGCCACGTAGATCGCTTTTAGGACGTCATAGCATGCTGGAGGACTAATCATCTGCCTCAAAGCTAGATCTATCCTTAAGTTAGACGAACACCTTATCGACTTCCAGGATATATCAAGATATATGTCTCCACGGCTGTAAATGCTCCGCAGAGCAGACATGACGTTTGACATGGTCCGTAAATCCTGAGAGAATTCCCCATTGACCATAGGCAGCCATCTGTGATTAGAGCGCCTATATGTTCTTTATCGGTAGTAACAGCAATTGTTGCATCGGTTGCCTTCATGGGTAAAGCGAGGAGAGTCTATTCGGCAGTTCTCTATGGACCCGGCAGTATCGCATAACGTCAGGCTGCAATGCTAGGGATCTGCATCGCTATACCAAATCAAAACAGTGGAATACATTGTGAGAGGGCACAAGGAGCGTAATCAGCGCTCTACCTGCCCGATATTCTCAGTGTTTCCCATATCAACAGGACGGTTAATCAGATAGGATCATGATGGTATCTTCAATTTGTTATCCCACTGGAAGCCATTTCTGTACATAAGGTATGATAACTGGGAGATTCGATTTCGTACTGTAGGTTTGAGAACATGTTGTGAAAGCTTTCGCAGGATTCCGTCGGTATGAGGGTTGATTTCGAATCCCATACGCGAGATTGCTTGCACGGTTTTATTCTTGATCTTAAGGGAAGGGATACTTTTTTTGGAAGTGTCCTTCATGGCATGGAGTATTATAGGAGCAGAGAAGGGGAAAATTAATGCTGCAGAGCAGAGCAGGAACAAGCGGTATAGTATCTACCAATTGCCCGACAATTGCTATAGCCTCCCTGATGTCTAAGATAGCTTGACTGGTTGTTGTGGAGAGAGATGAATACGGGGAAAGATCAAGGAGGAAGGCAGTAGGTATTTGTATTTCTCCACGAAAGAAGCGATTAGCATTGACGTGGTGCATGATGGGTGTGACTTAAGAGCTGTATAGGGAATGATATGGATGAATTGCTCTCTGCTATCTAGATTCCTGAAGCGTCGACTGGGGGTAAACATGATATTGTTAGATGTTTTTAGTCGCCGCAGACTCTTCAATATCTGTCAGTGAAGGATCAAATTAACCTGGGGGTAGTCACGGAATCCAATGCAAGGAATCTCTAGGTTTCGGCTCAGCTGTTTAAAAATTTGCCAGCGCGATTAATAGGTGGACGGCCTAGGCCAAGATAACATTACATGGTATCTAAATATACAAGCTAATCCCTAAGGGCTTGATCTAGCGGCATTCCCAAGACCCCCCATCAGCTGGCGCAATCCCTGAACCAAAGGAGGGAGCGCATCTTGGGAGGCATCCGCCCGCAGAAGCTCCTGTGCAAGGTCCATTGTCTGTCCTGGATTGGAAATAAATGCTGGCCCCTGTCGGCCCTGTAGTGCTGGGCTTCCACATCCAAGTGAAATGAACTTTTGCACGTCGGTCGTCTCGTCTCCATCGAGGTAGACTATTGGGCCGCGGACCGGCGGGGGACCCAAGGGACGACTCTCTGCTGCCATTTTATTGTTCTTCGCTTTGAACACCACGCTGTAAGACCAAAAAGCCAAGCTGGCGTAGTATACCCCAACTGCCAAAAAGCCCGTCAGCGACCCCGCGGGCATGGCTTTGGCAGCTCGGATGACCTGGCCGGCATGCCACACTGCTCGCCGAGAGTCAATGCTATTGATCCATTCAAGCGCACTGTTGTAGACTCTGCGGGCCTCCCTTTTGTCCTCCTTTCCGGCAAAGAGTTGCAAGTCCTCCAGAGACATGTATAAGAACATCGAGATCATCTCGTATATCAAGAATACCTCCGGACGGGGCAGGTCAGGCCACTCGTAGCAAACCATGCGAAAGTGTTGCAGGGCTTGTGACAGTTCCTGATGTCGTGAGTTGGTCACCAATGCATTCCAATGCTTGGAACTGCCTTTTGAAATAAAGTTAAAGCGATGATACTCGTTAATCATGGAAGAAAAGCCGTGTAGGAGGACTGAGCCCGCCAGCTGCGTATCTATCGCGCCCTGTAATCGGGACATGTCTCGCATTGCGTCGACCAGGGATGGATGTCGCTCCGTTCCCAGCAGTCCGAGTGCGAGGTAGCTATCCCTCCATGAGGTTGCTGACTTGGCATCCCAGAGCGATCGGGTGGATGGAAGTGGAAGTTCCAATTCCGCGTAAGAAATGAGTGGGTTGATGTTCAGCATCATGGCGCATTGGGCGTCATGTAGGAATAGATGATGAACGAGTCTAACATGTAAGCTAAGCCACCATGACGCGAGAAGATGAGTACCTCTTGAATGACTCCTGCTCCGCCCAAGCACGCCATTTTTGATCCAGCACTTCGGCATTATCATCGAGGCTTGGAACGATACTCGAGTAGACGCTCCGTCGGAAACGGAGCCCTCGCCGTAGCATCTGCACGGTTTATTAGCAGCTTCTCTACTCTGGACGTATAAACTAACCGTCACCAGTGGTTGTTGGAAGCTTTCCGCAATTTCCGTCCTCCGACCATTACCGCTCCAAAGGCCTATGTCGATGATCACGGCGAATGTTTGCGAAGGCCGTAGATCGCGGGTGACGCGGTTGTCCGACTCATACTAATCCAATTACTAACTATCATAATACCGAGTAGTACGGATAAGTACCTTGACCGACATATGTAGCCGTGCGACTTCCATCAGCGCGTAGCCCAGCTTCCGGATGGTCGGGATGGCCGACCGCACGGCACCAGCTGCAGCGATAGCGGTCAGCATGTCCGGGCTCTGTTCATTCGGGTGAAAAGTTGGGCCATGAATGAACGAATCGAGTTGGTGGCTTTGGTAGGCAAAGTAGTCCTGCATGAGACCGTCCAACAATTCGGTACTCGGAAACGACTTCATTATGCGAGGCGATGTGGACTTTTCGCTCGTCTGCAAGACCATCCCGAAAATGAGATCGCGGCTGCCGGAGGCCAGCCTCTCTGGCAGGATCTGACGCTCCAGCCTGACACTCGACTCTGGGCTGTCGATAGCCACTGGGACTGACAGATCATCCTGATCGGCAAAGGCGTGGTCATCCTGTGCAGGCTTCCAGGCAGATAGCGACGACCGCTTGTAAGCCTCGGCGCCAAGAGCAATCCCGCTATCCACATCGGACCGGTCGTTGGGCATATCAGGGGGCTGTGGAGCAAAGTGTGCGGTTCCCTGGGTGTTGAAGTAGTCGATCAGTCCAAAATCAACATCGGTGAGATCGAAATCGAATTGCATGTGGCTATCGAAAAGGTTGTGTATGTCTTGCGTATGGTTGAGTGGATTGAATGGATCCACGTCGTTGGGACGGGACAATGATGGTATGAGAGCGTCGGGAATGAACTCGGGGAAAAAGGTTCCATCGACACTAAAGACGCCACTTTCCTGGTCAAGGGTGGGAGATATTGCTAGGCACGTTAATCCATGCTCACGCAAGTGCGGACGAACTCACCATCGTAGCCTGTCGACATAGGATCTTCAGGGACCGAACCGGGCGGTTCAGGTAGGTAACTATTCACAGGGAAGTCAGGGGTCGCAAATGGAGGATTGTCGACAGAAGGTGGAAAGTCTTCCAAAGGAGGTATCGACGGGGTGAACGCGGTCTGCGCCTGGGGTGGATCGGGATACTGGTCCTGGCCATCCGGATCGTCATAGGCTATAATTCTTAGTATCCAAGGCAGTGAAATGGCAGCTCCAAGACCAACCTGGCACGGGTGAATCCGGCGTCATATCATCAAACCCTCCATCATGCCAATCACACATGAGCTTTTTATCCCGACACCGTCGACAAGGCTTCTCCTCGTCGCACTTGAGCTTGGACGTCGCACATGCTTTGCATGCCTGGGAGACGCGACCGCTCTTCGCATACGATGGTGGCCGTTTTCGCTTTCCATCTCGGGGGTGGTCATGACCTGCAGCATGTCGCTTCATCAAGTCCCTGACGCGGTCAGACCAGACGCGGGTGGCAGGGTAGGGACGTACGGCCTAGCAAAGCCTTTGTTGCACACATGGCAAACGTATGGTTTCTCCCTTGTATCTGCAAGATTTAGTATATCCCATGAATAGGCTATCGAAGTACATACGCGATCGCACATGTCGAATTAGATGATCTGCCCGATTGTAGTGCTTCTTACAGAATCCGCATTGAAAATAGCCATCGCGCGCTTTTGGGAGTGGCCGCTGCGGGGATTGCGCGGGGAATGATGGAGAGGACTTATCGTGCATGACGAGGGCGAGACATTGATAGATAGAGATGATTATGTGGGAAGAACAAGAAGTTGAAGAAGAGGAATGCCACCGAGAGTGAGGCCGCAGAAGTGTGGGGAATTCGAACGTTAAGCTCGGCAGGGAAATGCGGGGAATGACCCTGGCTGGATAGACGGAACGATTATTTAGTTTTCTGCCTACGTATTCTCTGGAAGCGGTTGATCAAACTGGCCAGTCGCTGCTCAGACTCGATTCGAAAGTTGGACCAACGCGAAATGGCGCCATGACTAAGCGGCAGGAAGCTGCGGCCTTCAGCTTTAAGGAAAGCCAGGGATTCGCAACAATGCATCACCTGGCCGCTGCCGGGGATCATCCAGCTACAGGCAGGACTATTACGCGCATGCATCTTCCGGTCAGCCAGAGGATGACTTGATTTTCGTGAGGACCGTCGAGACACGACGCTTATCAATCGTCTTAGGACCCTTGCGCCGTGCTCGGAATGTGGAGGACCTCATCCGACCTCCGCTCCCTCGTCTATCCTCCCCAGCCTGGATCGCCCTCCACGCCAGGAATCAAACCAAGCTAGTCCAATTCTTCAGACTCTCGGTTAATCCAAATTATCCCATTAGACTAGCAAGCCAGGACATCAATGGGTACGTTGACCTAGACTCTATAAAGAACCACACTGAGATCCACTCGACAGGCCTCCCCCCGGTCCACTTCTTCTCCCATGGCTCCCCGATGATGCTATGCGAGACGACCGAGTCCTCCGCTTACTGGCGCAGATGCGGAGACGAGGCACTAGCACATAATGTCAAAGGGATAGTGATTATGGTGCGTACTCCCGGATCCACCCACTTATACCATCTCCGCATATCGGGACCATCCATCACCAACGCTAACACCAGATGGACCCTCCAGAGCGCCCACTGGGCAGCCCTCGGCGACCGAATCGAAGTGGCCACCAACCCCGCCCCCAGAATCCGCCCCGTAGGATTCGTTCCGTCCCACGACTACAAGCACTACCCGCTGACACCTGACTTGTCGACCGCGCATCGTTGTCTCGATCTGCTGTCTGCAGAGGGATTCAACGTATCAGCGAACCCGCATTACAATTGGATTGTCGACGTCTACATCATCATCACGAGAATGTTTCCTGATGGAAACGCCCCACCCACAACCGTCATCTCCATGAACGCCCGGTACGATCCCCACTATCATCTCAAAGTCGGAAGTACGCTTCGTCAACTGCGACAGGAAAATTACCTCCTCATTGGCACAGGCGGAGCGGTACACAACCTCTATCGTAATCGATGGAAGCCCATGATCAAGTATCTCGATTCCCTAGCCATGGAGACGCCACCGGAGGAATGGGCCTTGGAGTTTCGTCAGTCCTTGGAGGATGTGATGACCAAGACGTCTGGACCGCAGCTGCGGAGAGCGGTGACTAGACTCATGAAGCATCCCCAGTTCCGTGACGCGCATGCCACTGATGATCACTTTATGGCGGCGGTGTTTGTGGCGGGGGTGGTCGGGGATGTAGACGATGAGGGATGCCAGGGGGTGATGGGCGCGGAGACGTGGGAGTTGACGAATATGGCGAATTCGCAGTTCACTTTTGGGGAGTGGCCTAAGCTGCCTGTGGCTGGTTATCCCGGTTAATTCTCGTAAGGCCATCATTTGCAAGAGGCTTACCAGTCAAATTATAGTGGTCTCTCGTTGTCCAGTAAGCTTCGTCTAAGCTTCCATCTTGCACTGATCACATTGTATGGCGATTCCTTAGCTCGACTAACATTAGCTGTCTGTATTGATCAGATTTGACGATACCGATGGTTTTGAACATCTCGATACCATCAGATCGGATTGAGATGCCTAATTAAAATGAAATCTATCCAAATATCTTTTTACATATAGGTAGAAATGTCACTTGGAATACCTTATTCGGTCGGAGAGTTTCTACGAAATGGAGCGATTTCCAAGACGACAGAATGGCAATATAGAACTTATCAGTCGTCGGAAATATTTCATTCCACCCCGCCCCTCGCAATCTTTAGATGTTGAATATCCATAAAGACGACACTCAACAACCAGAACAAAGCTCACGATTCACACTCATACCAGTCAACTCTAAGTGGTATACACCTCCCGAAAATCAAGCCCTCAACCTCCTCACAGCCGCATACCCATAAATCCCGATTGTCGAAATGAAACCCACAAGAGAAAACAACGTGATCACACCACCAGTAATAATTCCCTGCTCGAAGAATCCGATTCTCTTGCCCTCGGCTTGTCCTATCGAGGGCAGCGGCGTCAATGCCTCGCGCCACGCATCAGTAGACTTTGTGCTTTGGCTGATTATTTCTCGAATGAGAGCGGTGTTGCTTGTTTCTGTGACGAACTGGGGTCGTGGGATCTGGAGGGATGATGTCGAGTAGCGGGTTTCGCGGGATATTGGTTGGTTGGTTGGGTATGCGGGGCCGACTGTGCTTATTAGTGTTTTGCTTAAGTGAAAGAAGGGGGAGGGGCGTACTGAGCATGTCCGTCGGGACGTGGTTGATCCAGGAGGTGTAAGAGTCGATGAACTGGGTGAGGTATTTGGCTGCTGCTGGGGCTGCGAAGGCATATGTTGCTGCTAGGGTTCCCATTCTGTAACTTGTGAGCGTTGGTATTATTGAAGGGGTTCGTACTTACGAGCTGCTGAAGTCGATAGCATCATCTAGACTAGTCACAGGATGCAGGACCAGGACCTTCTCCGATACCTTTCTCTGCAGGAGAGGCGATTTCCTGCAACCGTAAGTATGTCACCTCGATAATCACAGTAAGACTCACCGATCATGCACCTCAACTACACCCCATTCAGAACCAGACACTATGACCCGCGCACTTGCGTCCTTGTGCGCCGCATCCAGCAACGACGCACCCGAACTCGACCGTCGCGGATTGACGACCGTCTGCCGGGCCTCGCCATTCTGGCCGCCTAGGTACTTCGACGACCGCTGAATGATCGCCTCCACGAATTCTTTCATGGCGAACTCCTGCACGAGCACAACATCCGGAGAGTACGTTGAGCGACCGCCAAAGGCGAATCGCGCGGACACCAATGCCTCTGCGGCGGCGGGGATATTGGCTGTGCGGTCGACCACCGCGACTGTTTTGGATGAGATAGGTGAGGATAGAGTGCTGCTAGAAAGCGGAATGGAATCATTTTGCGCAACTACGTGCGTCCTCTCGAGAAATGCACTGTCTGGTCGCTCCTCGCTGATGGCAAATGTGTCTGCATCCAGGGCCTGTGGTAGGATCTTCTTGAGCACAGCAGGCAATGCCATGGTGTTCTTCGACAACTGTATAAAATCAGCAGCACTCCAATGAGCATAATCACGTTAAACGCACCTCAAGAATAACACAATTCCCCGCCGCAATCGCAGCGCTCAACGCCGCAATAACCGAGAAAAACATAGTATGCGAACAAGGCACGACATACACAATGCCCACTCCCCGTCTCCCATCAGTATTATCCTTCCCATGCGCAACACGATACTCCACCTCCAAATCCTTCTTCAAGTCCAGAGATGCATAATGTGTCCGAATCTCTTTCACAGCAAGACAGATCTCCGCGCGAACTTCCTCCTCCGAATGTCCCGAATCAGCAGCGATCGCATCCTTGATGAGATCGATATTCTGCACCAAAACAGACTGTAAACGATGGAACTGATTCTGACGATATCTGATATTCTGACAGCGACCGTCTATTTCAGCGGCGATGATCCGCTGGAAGGGTTGTATGGTGACCATGTTGATGTCGGTGAGGTATGTGATACTTCAGCGAGACATGGATCACTATGGATATAGCAGCACAACAAGGGTCAGACACGACCAGCGCTGACTGACGCGATGTGGACATACGCTATGGCTCGGGAATCTGGACCCGGCTGGTTTCCGACCCCGGAATGATTGGGGTCTGCGGGGGAGAAGGAAGGGTGGTGGTGGTATGACGGTCGGGATGTGGAGGAGTCAAGGGATGGATGGACGGGCTTATGTGGTGCAGGGAGTTGGCAACCGTCGGTTAGGATTCACGATCACGATCACAGATAGAGATCCGCATCTATCTCACTTTGTTGTTTGCATTCGTTTCATTATTGGAGATATTGCTCACCATGTCAACTACAACCACCACCACAACCACCCACACCAGCACGCTCTCCATCCTCTCCGACTACGAAATCCACCACACTGGCTCGGAAACCCAGCCTCAACCTCAGGCACCCAGCACCTCCACACCTGCTGTATCCCAGCCCGTGGACTGGCCGTCCAACTACAGACGCGTGCCTCCGTATCGGCCTGCGAACCGGAATCTGGACTATGACGAGCGCGCAGCTGGGGCCAGTCCGGCCGAGTATGTGTTTATCCAGTCTATGTTGCATGGGGTGTGGCTGAATGCGGTGAGATGCATCCTCTAATTCATTTTGATTGCTGTTCTGATGTTTCAAGGCTGTTTCGCGACTGTGGAGGTTCACGGGTGGGAGGATTAATGATAAGATCTTTCATTATGAGATTGGGGGGGAGTGGTGATCTTGTTTACAGAGTTGGAATGCAATATCTATTCATTGACGTAATGTGAGATGTAGTATATCATACCTGGATTTAATTCCCATTAAGTAGCAGTTTCATTATATGCAAAGCCGCACTCCCATTCCAATTTCACTTCCTATCAGAAAAGTCCTATGCATTGAACTTCACGCAAAACCAAACATTCTAAACATGTTATATTTTGAGCTCTACCAGCGATAATAGTATCGAACATCTTCACATAAAATACCACGATCATACAACTTCACATAAAGCATCACAACAGAAGATCAATTCCAACATCACATCTAAATACAACAACAATCTCTCACCATCTATACCCCCTCTCCCCCAGCTCTTCCTCAAAACCACTATGAAATAAATCAAGTACTATCCCTAACCCCAATCCCGCCCAAATCCTCCCCAAGATCGACCCCCACAGCCGGCAAAAGCACATACAACATCCTCGCCCACTGTCCCTCCCTCGTCCCATCCTCCCTGACCACATCCGGACTCACATTCCTCCAAGCATGATTCGTCCCCCGCTGCACCGCGACATCCCCCCTGCCCAAGACCCTACTCTCCCCCGAATCCAACACCAACTCGACCTCCCCCTCCAACACAACCCCATAATCAATCGACACGGTGCGATGCATAGGACTGGTCGCGTGGGGCGGGATATCCACGATGCGGCAGACGGAGCCGGTCGAGATGGTGATGCCGGGCGGGTTGGTCAGGTAGGATGCGTAGGCGGGGATGTCGGCGTCGGACGACAGGTTCGCGGGGAAGGTGTCGGTTGTGTAGACGAGGGAGAAGTGCGCGTTGGCGGAGTCGGAGATTTCTTGCACGGGCATGGCGGTGGGGAGGGTGCGGGAGAAGATGGCCTGGTTGGTGGGGGAGTGGGTGGTTATGTACCGCGATAGGGGGCGGATGTTCTTTTTGGTGGTTGTTTGGTTTGTCATTTTGGCTAATTGGCTTGAGGAAAAGTGGAGAGAGGAGATGGTTGTAGAGTGATGATGATTGGAATCAGGATTGGATTGGGTTTGCTTGAATAAGTGAGGTATGAGAGGTTATATGCTAGAGTCCTCTGGTTCAATGATCCGGGCTACTATATACTACTCTATGGTGATGATCGGTGCTCGGATGCCTTTCGGGACCACATCGGGAGTACCTGGAGGTGGTCCGGATATTCGGAATCACCAAGTGACAGAACGCTGCATTGTAATCTACCATTTCTAAGCTCGTGCACTAATCTACCTGCTCATGCGGAGTTCCTCTAGCCATCCCCTCGAAGGAATGATTGGTAGCGTGACATAGTTGTCGCCGTGGCCAAAGTTGATATGGTTGAGACCCTGGAATCGCTCCGGGGATCTATCGACATTAGCATAGCTCACCTCGCTGATGGCAACTGCACTTACCGGTCCACGGGCGAATTGTGCTGGAAGACTCCGCATCCTTGTGTGTCGCCCGATGACACCTCCAGGATGATCTTGCCGCCCTTCTCGACTACCACGTTTGTCGGCCACACCTCCACATCAACCGGGTACACCTCGCCAGGAATAACCGGCTGCACGTCCGTCGAGTAATAAGTACGATAGGGAAGCCAGGCCCGGTGACGAGGGTGCTCCGGGTTCGTCTTGCGCAAACTGACGCGCTGCCAGCCCTTGCAGAGAGGCACCGGATCCCCAGCTGTGCCGGTGTAGAACACCTCCTTGCCTTCCGGCGAGATATACCGCAGCGTGAGGAACAGGTCGATGTCTTTGGGAGTGGGAGCGCCCGGCTCCGGGCTCATCGACACGTTGAGATGCGCGACAATGTGCCCTGTGATCTCGGTCTCCTGCTCAAACGGCGCAGTCGTGAATTGCACCAGCTGGGGATTTTGCATATTGCCCAGGGCGCGGTAAGTGATCTTGACCGGGCGCTCCTGCGGTGCAGTAGTAACTAGCGTTTCTTTTGAGGTCAGATAATACTTCGTGTACTGGGTGCGAGCGATGGGCCATTCGTTTTCTGTACGGCGAGGGAACCCTTTCTCTGCTTCGGCGTTGTTGAATCCGACGTCTCCCTTACGGAGCACCAGGTCAACCTTCGGGGCTGTGCCGGTTGACCATCCTGCGCGATCTTCGCCCTTGAGGAAGGCATCCAGGAAGCTGCGCTGGATTTCAACCTCCTCCTTGTAGTAGAAAGGCAGGTCATGGCGACCGGTGATGAAGCGCAAGTACTTCAGTTCGCTGCCCGCCTGAGTCCAGCCTTCCACGTTTCCGCGGAGATGCAGCAGAATGCCACCCCAATTAGCCACGGAAAGAAGAGGCACCTACACGCGTCAGCTCAGCTTGAGTCACTGTCGTACATGACATACCTGAATGTCGGACATGGTGTACTCCTTGCTAGCGTAGTACTCATCATCCCGAAACCGGTTGTTCACGTTATCGACCGTCTGGTCCTGACGATTGGCCGCCAACTCGTCCTCGGAAAGATCACCTTCAATAGTATCAGGACCCCAGTTGCGTGCGGCGCGACCGGGCAACCCGTACTGATTCGAGACCACTTGGCGGTCCCACCAGAACTTGATGAAAGCGTTTGACAGGATGCCACCGTGTCGGCACCGATCGCGGTAGTAGTCGGACATGCCCTCCCACGGGATGATACACGACAGTCCCTTAGGCTGCCGTGCACTGACCCTCCACTGACTGCCAGCATAGTAACTGATCCCCAGCAATCCTACCTTGCCGGTGGACCATGGCTGCTCGGCTGCCCATTCGACCACATCAAAGAAAGCCTCGCTTGTTTCACGGGACATGGTGTCCAGCTTTCCGCGAGATTGGCCTGTCCCTCTCTCGTCCGCCCGAACAATGGCATATCCATGTTTGGTCCAGAACCCAGGATCAGGCGTTTCCCAGGCCGAATGCTCGGAGTGATGCTCCGAGTTGACTTCGCTGAAAGACTTTGGGTGAAAATCCGAGTACGGAATGTCTTTGCCATAGGGACCGTAGGTGACGAGAACAGGGGCCTGTTCCAGCTCCTTGGGCCGGTAGACATTGCATCGGACGAGTCCGGACTTGTCTTTCAGAGCGATGGTGACATTCTGTTCAAAGATGTAGGGAAAGGATGTATCATCCCGAGTAGTGATGTCTTCACGGATGGGATTCGGCATGATGGCTACAGATCAACCATAAACCAATGCGAATGATGACTAGCAGCAAGATGGGTGGTTGTTTCCGATTACGGGTGTGATAAATAGTCACTTGGTTCCCCTCACGGTGGTCTCCGCCATCACCCGTTCCCTTGCAGGGCTCCGAACGTGGAGCCGAAGTGGTGAGCCGAGGACTGGGATCGCGCCAACCCACGGCAAGGAGGTGGACACGCCGACTCTTCCTGATCAGGTGGTCCATCACGGATAATGGCGGTGCTTTCAGTAGATATAATTCTGTCATGTCAGGGAGACTAGGTCGTGACCTCGCAGAGTAATCAAACCCATTCTTCCATCCTCTTCACCCTCGGGCCGACGAAGATCCCGCATTTATCTGCAACATGGGGAGCATTGACCCGAGCGCAGCCCAAGGAGGGCTCCACGTTCTGATTGCCGGCGCTGGTATAGGAGGCCTGGCTGCTGCTATCGCTCTCCGGCAACAAGGTCATCGTGTGGAGGTGAGATTTCATCCCAACCTACAAGGACGCGCAAGATAGACTAACTGTCGCAGTTGTTCGAACGCTCCCGGTTCGCAAATGAAATCGGCGCAGCCATTCATCTTACTCCCAATGCCAACGCTGCATTGCTCCGACTGGGAATCGACGGCGCCAAGTTTGGAGCCGTAGAAGCAGAGCAGGTACGCATGCCATACGGCTTGGAATACCCATCTGACCATAACAGCTTCGTATCTATACCCCCAGTGGTCATCCCCTAGCAATCATCGACAACAAAGCACGCGCTGGGAAATGGAGACATGTAAGACCCCCGGCGCTGTCAAGGAAAACGTCATAACAAGTCCTAGAAATGGACTCTAGTCCATCGAGCCCATCTTCACGATGCTCTCAAAACCGCCGCTCAAGCTTCTGGGCCCGGTATTCCAGCCCAGTTGCACACGTCGAGCAGAATTGTAGACATTGATCCTGAGAATGCAACGGTGACTCTTGAAAACGGAGACACGTTCAGAGGCGACGTTGTCGTCGGGGCAGATGGTGTTCATTCCCTTGCTAGGTCGAGATTGCCTGGTGCCAGTGGTATCAAGACATTCAGCTCGGGCAAGAATGCTTTCCGCTTCCTGTTGAAGCGCAAGGACGCCCAGGAAGACCCCGAGACACACTCATTAGCCATGCAGTACAGCTCGGTGGACATGTGGGACTCTTCTGAAAAGCGCGTGGTTATCTATCCCTGCGCCAATAACGAAATCCTAAACTTCGTCTGCATCCATCCTGACACACTGAGCACTATCAACACGTCGTCAGAGTGGAACCAAGATGCTAGCAAGGAGGCGCTCCTTGAGGTTTTCAAGGAGTTTAACCCCCAGGTTCTCAAGATGCTGACCAAGGCCGATCCACAAACCCTGAAGGTGTGGCCTCTGCTGGATATGGAAACGTTGCCAACCTGGATTAATGGCCGGCTAGCCATCATCGGGGATGCGGCCCACCCATTCCTGCCATATCGCGCATCTGGAGGCGCTATGGCCATCGAAGATGGTGTATCGCTCGCTGTCATGCTGTCTCGTGATGTTACCCCCGAGGAAGTACCAGAAAGGCTGAAGCTGTACGAGAAAGCTCGTCATACCCGAGCCACTACTGTACAGCAGATGACGCGAGAATCTGCTCAGCCACAATCATTCGAACAAAGTCAGTACACCCTGATTGCACTTAGTATCGCCAGCTAACCCTTTTCAGTGGAAGCCATGACGGATTATATCTACGGTCATGACGAATATGACCACTCGACTCAGGTCCTGCGAAAGCACCTCTGGGGCCAGCTTCCGGCCAAATACTGGCGTCAGCCCATAGTCTTCGGTCCGATGCCGGGCCCCAGGCAAGACTGGTGGGGGAGAAACCGCGTCCAGAAATCACTCAAGTCGACATTCCAAACGGCATCGATTCGATTTAAGACCAGCCGAACGCTTCTACAGAACTTGTTGCCCAATGAGAGGTATTCTTTCACCGATCCAAGCACCGTAGCCTATGCCAGCTTCTCGCAAACGAGACTGCATGGAATGGACTGGCTTGGCGGTGGCGGATATCGCCATCTAGGCCTCTACATCGAAGGCGTGCAATATCGGAAATCGGACGGCGAAGTAGTCAAGGGGCTCTACTTGCCCATCCTCTTCGAGAGCCTGACAGATCCAATTGTGAGTGGCCGTGAGGAGCTCGGCATGCCCAAGCTGTACACAGCCATCGAGGCGCATGAGCGTTCCAACTCTTATCACTTGACGACCAGCTGGGAGGGCGCCGTGTGGGGTCATTTCCATCTCGAGGACCTGGAGGAACAGGATCCCAGCACTAACACTCCTCCGAATTTCGGCAAAGGCGATTTGATCTATCGTTACATGCCACAAGTCGGACGTGCGTACAAGGGACAACCTGAGGCCGAATATCCCGTACTTGTGCCACAGGAGGAAGAGCAAAAGAATATCCCATCGAGGGTAACCCGGTTACGGACGACGAAGAACGCGAGGTTTGAGATTGATGCACTCAGCTGGGAATCGCTGCCAACGCTGCATCACGTCATCTCTCGGCTGGCAGAAATTCCTGTAGACGAGATCGTGTCTGCCAAGGTAGTTGAAGGCGAGGGCGTGCAAGATGTGTCGTGTGCGAGACGCATTGAGTGAAGGCTGCAAGCCAACAGCGAGCTATTGGAGTCATCAGTGCTAGCATTATGTATGTTTTGATAGTAGATTAGTGTTTCTCTGAATGATTAGTGAGACTGTGCACCGTACAATCTGGTCACATCGATTCCAGACAAGTTACCTGGACATAAGCCCGCGACCGGTGCTGGAGACACCGCGGAGATGATGAGGTGGTCCGACCGGGTCGCGACGCGTCGCAGAGGTACTCGCCTGACTAGTCCGAATCGGGGAATCCCTGCATCACGGGCTCCGAAATGGGCGCACGGAGTACGGAGTACCTTGATGTAAAGAAGAAACACGACATCAAGATACTATCTCAACCCCAAAATGGATGATGAGAGGCTACTTAATAGACCGCGTTCTCTGGCTTGTTCCCTCCGACAAAGACCCCAAGTGGTTCGAATGAAACGGTGCATCTCACCAAGCCCCGTCAATGCAAAGTACAGAACTCCTGTCAGATGCATGATCAACGAAGCCAGTTGCATAATCAATCTCTAGGGATCGTTCCATCTTTAGATCAGGTGGTGTGACAGAGGAGAATGTCTTCTGAATGGAGTGCTTGCACCGGGAGGTATCAATTGTTACAGAACAATCCTGGGGTACAGCACAAAGACTCTAGTGTGACCATGAGCTCTGTGGGCTGTAGATAAGCAAAAACACTTACATCCAGCCCTTGCGCATCGATGAAATTGCCGTCGGAAGGTAACATCTTTCTGTCTTACAGACACGTGAGCTAATAGGTGTTTAGGATAGTCAGCAACGACCAGACGGTGTCAAGGGAATCCTTGATCGTGTATCGTTGTGAAGCACTTCTTGACCTTAGTCGATCTTGCCAGCGGTGGAGGGGTATTGACGGCCTCATGTTGAGGAGAAGTTGCCGAATGCAAATTACCTTAGGCTAGAAGGGATTTATGTTCATTGACCGACGTCGGCCGCCATGAAAGATCAAGAAACGGAAGGTACGCTCTGCATAATACTGTAATTATTTGAAGAAATCTGGCAATATGAGCATGTGGGTGGCTTAGGCGATATACCATACATTCCTCCAGGGCTGGTGTGAGGGGGGAAATGAGTGGAACAATGGGCCTGATCTAACAATGACGTTGATTCCGGCGTGAATAGCACGACAGTATCCTCAATATATCTCAAACTTAGGCTTATTCTCAGCCTTTCATTAATCTAGCCGGTTTGTCAGTTAGCAGCAGATCGTTGTGAGCGCTCAAGGACGGCCAAGGATGCTCAAGGCCGGTTCCTCAAGCTAGTCCGAAAGATGGGGCCGGTCATCAAACCAACTGGAGAGGTACGACAGACTGCAGTGTGAGATGATGGACGGTATTTCGGTTATTTTGTGTTCGGTGAACATTCGGGCTGTCCGGCAAGGTACTATACATTACTACCGCAGGTGCAATAAATGTCCTGATAGAGATTGGCGAGCCCGCCGGATTCATGCTACCAATATCAATATATATTTTGTCCGTATCTACTGGGAGCACTGGTTACTAAATCCTAACAGAGTCAACAGCCTGGCATCACACAGACATACCAAGACAATGACCAATAACCCGAGAAGCAGATACTCACATCAGGCAAGCTTATCTCCCTCAAGGGATGTCAATCCCACTCACTTCGCCACCAAGACGGTAGGTAGGAAGAGTTATCCGCTAACTGTGGCACGATCGCTATACTAAGCACTAATTTGTACAAAATGTACGGTCCCATCGCTCGACGGCCCGGCCGTCTCACTAGCAGTGTAGTGGGCCACTTAGCCTATGGATCTTCCGGAACGATTCGTGTACTCCGTACTGCGGACATGATTGTACATCTTGGCAAGTGGATGGTGGGCTGCGTCAGCGGCACCGGAATCCTTGAGCAGTACAGCTCGATTCAGGACTGCACAATAAAGGCATAAACTGCATAGCAACTGAAAGAAATGCTCGGTGCATATGTAAGTCTTCAGCACTACTACCCCAGAGGACATGCAGTTCATGTCTGCCTGATGCAACCGGGTGTGCAGGGCGGGGGGGGGGGTTAGTCCGTTTTCCGGCGTACTTTCGAGTCATCGTCTTGAGCCCGCTAGTCTCGTATTGTGCCCAGTAGTGAGACCGTTAGGTACATGAGCGTGGCAATCTCAGACATGGGTCTTTTGGAGCTAAGGGTGGCAGCAGGAGCGGGCGTTCATGTGACTGGACAATAGAGAGGTAGCGAGCATCGTGGGGTCTCTGTTTCCGAGCTAGAGAAACACGGATATGTTCGGGGTACGTAGAGGGCTTTTGATCGATGAGCGATTGATTAGTTGGTAATGTCTTGCGGCTGCGCCTCGTGGCATCAGGCCGCAATGGAATCCGGGTATAGCATCTGGGGGAAGCATGTGGGCATGCATACATGGTATACATCTGTGTTCTTATCGCAATGTAATAACTGGTGATGAATTTTGTTTGAAACTTCAGTAGACTGTGTGATATCATGGAGCAGAGGTCTGTGGGGGATTGCTCAACGGGGATCGGGCGTTGAGAGAGACGACGGCCTGAGGCAGACACGAAAATGGATTGTCGTTGGGTCCAGCAAGGTCTAGAACGCGACCGTAGATGGAAAGCATTGAGAGAATGAGGGGTTGCTTTCTCGAAAGCTGTCCGCAAGTAAGTAAGATGCTCAGTCTACCATGGTTCTGGGACTGTCAACGCGACACCCCTTCGAAAAAAAAAAGGGGGTAGAAACCAGATGGCGAGAAGAAGTATAAACGTCGGGGGTTCGCGGTGGATGACGCATGACTGGCTGCCTACCGAATCAGGCGGGCCACCTTGAGGTGCTCCGCCCGCTGCTGCACTTCACCAGGAACCGTAACCTCACCTCGTCCCGCCTCTGCTCGTCCTACGCCTGCTCCTCTTTCTGCTCACCTTCGTCGCCAGTCTAGTCTTCTTACCTCCAGGATACCCTGTCATCGCCTCGACCCTCTCCAACCTCGTCTCAACCCCAGTCGTCCCTTCCCTTCGCTTCCCCTCCACGTCACTTCTTCCCCTCGCCGGCCGGTGTCGATCGCTTGCCGGTCCCACTGTATTTATAATTCATCCTTCGACCGCCTAGAACTTCTCAAAGTTCAAACAATCTACCGACCGTCGATAGAGTCATATAAAGCTTATCCCGGTGTTGGCCACAGCCTACCATTCTCGGTTTCCCAACGTGATCTGAATTCCCGAGCCTGGGAGAGCTTCCCCGCACCAGAGCTGCACAGCATCATGTATGTTGTGGAGAAACACACCACCGGAGAAACTAGAGACCAAAAGAATATGTGACTAACCGGCGTCTCCCAAAATCCCCAGGCAAATTACCGTGAGCGTGATTCGTCCGGACCATGCCGACGCCGACATCCTCTCCCTGGAAGTGGGCGGGGATATGACCGTCGAGCTACTCAAAGCCATTGTCGAAAGCGAGACGTCCATACCTCCTCCCTCCCAGCGAATTGTCTACAACAACCAGCTACTTGGCGATGATTCCCGTACACTGGAACAAGTCGGAATTGGTGAAGGCGACATGCTAGGGGTTCACGTTACTCTGCGGAGGCCTCAAGCGCCTGCTCGGAGCATAGGAGGCCCCAGCTCTGCTGCTGCTCAACAAAACTTGCAACGGCGACAGGCCATGACGCCAGATCCCGAAACAATCCGCCTACACATTCTCGGTGACCCGCGCGTGCGCGAGGCTGTTCGACGGCAGAACCCGGAACTGGCCGAGGTGGCCAACGATGCGCAGCGTTTCCGTGAAGTTCTCCTTCGGCAACAGCAGCGTGAGGCCCAGCTCGAGGCCGAGAAGGAGGCCCGGATTGCAATGCTAAATGCGGATCCGTTCAACCCTGCGAATCAACGGGAGATCGAGGAGATCATCCGTCAGAATGCGGTAACAGAAAATCTTCACAACGCCATGGAGCATCACCCGGAATGTGAGTGGGATCAACAAATTTTGTGATGACCTATTACTAACTTGAAAGCACAGCATTCGGTCGCGTAACAATGCTATACATCCCTGTTGAGGTCAACGGTCACAAGCTGAACGCCTTTGTCGATTCCGGCGCGCAGGTCACCATCATGTCACCTGAATGTGCGACCGCGTGCAACATCATGCGCCTGGTCGACCAGCGATACGGGGGTATTGCCAAGGGCGTGGGTACGGCGAACATCTTGGGCCGGGTACACTCGGCACAGATTAAGATCGGAAGCATGTTCCTACCATGCTCCTTCACTGTCATGGAGGGAAAGCATATCGATCTGCTGCTAGGCCTTGATATGTTAAGAAGACATCAGGCCTGCATTGACCTCAGGCGAGGAGCGCTCATCATTCAGGATCAAGCTGTGCCGTTCCTTGGGGAGGCAGATATTCCCAAGCACCTCCAGGAGGAATTCGAGGACGAGCCCATGATCAAGGGAGCCGATGGCGCCGAAGTCGGCGCCCGGACAGGTGCGGTCACGCACCAGGCAAGCGGCAGCCAAGCAGCTGGTGGCTCCAACATGGCCTCTGCGCCATCAACGTCCCGCCCAGCCCCGCCGCAATCACGCTGGCCACCGGACTCCATCGCGAAGATCACTGAGCTAGGCTTTACGCGGGAAGAGGCCATGCGAGCCTTGGACGCAGCCAACGGAGACTTGGATGGAGCCATCGGGTTCCTGATATGATGCAGGTGATGTCACCCGCTTGGAATTTTGAAGTCTCGGGTGAGTCCCGGGAACTTTCGTACCGCTGTAATCTGATCTATCACCACAGCGAGACCAGTGCGCAATGTGCGATGCCTTTTTTTGTTTCCTTGTAACAATGAGCCTACGGACGTAACTCCTACCCAGTCATGCATTTCTGTGACCCTTCAGCCACAGTTCAGCCTGAAACTATGCTAGCGAAATAGATATCAATAGCCACTTGCATTATTGACGACTTTTTTTGGGCCATTCATATTGCCTTGTGGCAACAAGCCATTCTTCCCGCTCTCGGACTTTGTCCCGGCCTATATCACGCCGCATTAATCGATCGGGTCGGTGTAGCGGGGTTCTTGCCCATTTGGCGGAATGCATTCCTACCTGTAACTTAGTGAGCATGTATGCCTTAAGCCATCAGCCCCGGCACTACAGCATGATAAGGCAGGTTGATATCCTTGCATAACTAGGCCCATGCACATCCCAGGCCTAGAATCTGGAATTTGTCTATTGGCCTGCGAAACATTTCCGTCTACCCATCCAGCTTGCAAGTCATGCAATCCGGGTTTAGATCTACCGTTCTCGTTCATTCAGTCTATGATCATCCTCATACCCCCCTGCATCGAACCCAGTATGCACACATACCCTGAACGTAATTCATTAGAACCGTTACACAGTTACTTAGATACTTACTCCCTCTTGGATTTCGCCAAGAGTTTGGCCCGAAGTCTGAAGAACATATCCAACGCCATGAATGCACCTATCGGGTGATCGCTAAGTTAGCGGCAGTCCAAATCCCGCTTTTCCGGATGGTGATGATGATGATGATGATGCACGGACACCTACCAAGAGCGACATAAGGCCCATAGAGCATGGTGATATTCTGCTTTTGGGCAACGGTGCGATCAGCCCAACTCCACACCTCGACGAGACAGACTGCGGAGGTGAGGAAGGCCTGGAGACCAAAAATGAGGAGGTGGACGGGGACAAGAGGGTCATCTAGTATCAATCGACCATTGCGTTAGCTCGGGGAGGGTCTGATGGAGTAATGCCGACCGGTATGATGTAATAGGAGCTCCGCACCTCTTTTTAAGCCGCCAATGGCCCAGACGCTCAGTGGGACGTGGTAGAATAGTTCCATGACGATGAAGAAGTGGAACCAGGGGGCTGGGGGCTCTTCGAAGAACTTGTCATGGTAGGTATTGATGTAAAACTCCCGGAGGGTGTGGGATAGATCGGATTGGAGGAAGGAGGGAAGGATAGGGACGGCGTCAACCACTGGGAGGATGAGTCTTGGTTAGTGTCTATGCGGCTACGTAGCGTGTATGGAGCATGTGAAGTGGGAAGGATTGTGATCGACTTACGGAAGATGATTGGGACGTGGATGGCGAAGAAGGTGAAGTAGACCAGGTCGCATTTGCGACTCCACAGGGACGCGGCAGCAGTAGGAGCAGCCATGACGGCTCGGGATAGAGAATTAAAATGGGGTGATCCGGTAAGTAGACAGGTCTACTCCGTGAAAAGATACACAATAGATACTAGACAGAGGTGTGGACGAGAAAAGGGATCTGATATGCGCGCCGGAAGCCGGTCAGCTGACCGTCACGGGGCGGCCGAGAAGGAAAAGCGCAAACCACACAAACTAAGCAAAGGCGAGCCATCAAGAAAATCCCCGCCGTTCGCCAGTCCCGATCGGCTGGAAAGACAACTCGAAAGGTACCGACTTTCCTGCGTACTGCACCGTAAGGACGCACGATTGAAACATTGTTTGCTTTTTCCACTGCACGCGTCTCGGATTCTCTAAACATAGCTTAAGCTTAGCCGTGTGGATCGGGCCCTCCACCGGTCAATCAACAATCATGGCTGCTCGGGTAAGGTAAGTTTAGTGTCAACCAGCAGTGGTGACCCAACGGTTAGGACCAGCAAGTTACTACATAGTGCAATGTATGAACTGAAATCCTGCTCGTCTCTACCTGCTTTTTCAGGCTCGTCGGCCTTGCATCAGGGGAGCGTATGGCGATGTGCACTTCGATCTTATCGTCGTGTGAGACATCTTAGTGTATGTCCACCCTGGGGGGCAAATTCAGCACCGCCCTCAGCCATCGGGACATGGATTCACGATGATCGCTCTCATTCCAGGGTGACTCGACAACTGGGCGTCTTCACCGCAATTCTCGATCCCTGCTAGAGCGCCCTCGTTATGACCTCCGACGCCCGGGAAAGCTTGTGGTGCAAAAGTCCTAACGGAGCCCAGGATCCCTTAGTTGTGGCGCCTGCCCCTCCCCTTCCCTGGGGGCTGATCTTTACCTCTGGGCTTCTTCTTGGCCCGGAATCGGCCTTGACTCATTTTTACGCACCAACAAAAGTACTGCAAGGATGGGCGGTTGGTATCCGCCACCTGCAGGCTGATCCCACCATGTCTCTCAATAACAGCATGCATTCTGCAGCCAAAGCAACCCGATCCGGGAAATGTCCTCAACATCGCCTGTGCCTGGGCTCTTCTATCTCATGATTTGGCTCGGTCCTCCTGGAAATAATGATGATTTCGGGGCGGACGACGGGAAGCTTGCACTTAGCGCCACACTTTACACCACCGCCCGTCAGTCCATTGTCGCATAGTGCTACTGTGCTTCGTACGGAGTGGACCAGTCTCCGGGACTCGGAAATGCGCCGCTCGATTCCCAGGGTATCGACCGAGAACATACCTTGGAGGCCACAACGACCCTTTCCCCGGAACTTTGGGGCCAAATTCTGACCGCCGGTAGTTGCTGTATCGCAAGAACACCTGTGAATAGACGCCAGCCCCAACCAGTAGCCACTACCCACTCACCGTATCCACTGGTACCAAACTTGGGAATCCTTTGACATTCCTTTATTCCATCCACCAGTTGGGCTGCTGGTTCGTAAGAGATATGCCAAGGACAGCAAATCTGTGACGTGACGCTTTGAACGGGCAGCAGCCGATTGCCGCTTTTAAGGCCGTCCTGAATGGCAACACGTTCAGACTAACTGGTATAGGTAGTAGAATTGGTCGAATCGACAGAGCACTCAGGCCCTATGGCGGAAGTACGGATGGCGCCAAATTCCAGTTCCAATCGCAATTGGACCCCTCCAGACTCTGAAGCTCCGGGACTTGAAGGTAGCTCAAGGCGGGCATGATGCAGTGTGAAAAACCAAGTGGACACCATCATACATTATCAGAGCAATTCTCCTGCATCCTTCCTTCAAGGCTTCTGTGGGCCTTCGACGCCATCTGGGAAATGTTCTAGATAGCCTGGACGACCTTCCGCGGCCCATCTCTACCGATTATGGAACATTATTAACGTGGCTCGGTGGAGAAAACCCGATAGTCCACGGACATTGGACCGCATTCCCGAAATGAAAACCAACGTCACAGCTCGCGAGAGGCTCCATTGGCTCTCCGCGAGAGCAGATCGGCCAGGCCTGTCTGTTCCACCCCGGTCGAGTTGGTCTTGGTGCGAAGGATGCCTACCGTGAGCAGACAAACCCGTTGGATGAAGGCCTAAACCTGGTTTATGTGCGACCTTTCACTTACACCGATGCTTGCACCTTCCCAAAGAGAAAAAAAATTTATCAAAAATCAAAACAGGATGGTTGCTCCTTGGAGGAGGGAAGCACGCACGCGCAAAGGCATCACTCGAACAGAGGGAACACATCAATTCTCGGGGAAGCTACAGTGGGTATGCGTTGACTCTCGGCTCCGTACCTCGGCATGGAGCCCCCCAAGAATAGCCCGGAGCCAGCAGTCAGCACTATTTTCGATTGAGTTGACACGATCGATCACCACCAAGATACCGGTAGAAAACAGGCACAATCCCAACCAGACTTAACAGGCGGAAAAAGAAATTTAGACCCGGAAAAGGAAAATTAAAAAATTAATTAATCAGAAGAGGGACACAGAAAACTCTAACCCCTTCGCAATGTGGTACTGGATACGCATGCGCCCTCTTGACATGAGATAAAAGATTCCCACCAACCAAACAACAGCAGAGGTGCTGCAATATTCCTGGATTATTGGCAATGGAAACCTGTTGCAGAGCGCATACAGGCCACCGTAGTACAGAGCAGCTGTGGCCTGAGAGCCGGGAGTTTACCATCTTCTTCTGTCGAGCAATGCAAGGACTAATGCAAGATAGCAGAGCTACCGAAGCTGCTGCTGCTGCTCTTTCCCACTACTGCACAGGACAAATTCCGCGATCTAGTGCCGTCTGTCTACCCTGGGAGAAACAGACTCCAAGTTAACGATATTGGCCCAACGTGCCGGCCGCATGGCTCCACCTCTGCCTTCTTTGCAGTCCTTCTGGCTTCTTATCGTTCATCCGGGCTCGCTAGATCAGAGCGGTGAAACCACACCAGAAACAAATCGAATGAGCACCGTACAGTGAGAGCCAGTCCCCCGGAACACGCCGGGTCCAGGGAGAAAGCCAGTGCCTTCCCATTGCTCTCGCGGTCGGTCGGTCAGCCTTAGGCCCGAGATAATCGTCGCCATGACGGACACCTCTGCTGTAAGCCCTCTGTTGTCCGATGCGGGAAGGAAGCTACTATACTCTCTGGAGTGGGCGCCCCCGATGCCCCCATTCATTATTATTCATTGGACCTTGACCGCTTCTCCCAATTCCATCGTGCATCTGTTCTGGCTCTCGGTCCCTGTTCCGAACGGCCTACCTCGACCCTTTCTGGCCTCTTCGTCAATCTGTATGCTCTCTTGCCCTTCACCCTTTCAGACATTGCTTGTGCCATTCTCTCCTCTGAGTGGCTCGCTGCTTTGCCGCCGCCCCCTCACCCCCCTACGATGACCGCCGTTCTCATCTGTCGAGACCCGTCCGGCACCGACCTTGTACCCCCTGTCGTCATGGCTTCGAGACGACCTTTTTTTGTGTCCACCTTGAATAATCGGGCGAATCTGCCAGCCCAAGCTTTCCGGTCCGGAGATTGAAAGGGATAATGCCTAGTCTAGCTCTGTCTAAGCGAAGTTCCGGTGGATGCACTATCATTGGCGCTGCGGCGACCATATCATCCACTCGGTCATGTTTACAGCTTGTGCAATCCCTTTATCGCCATATCGAGCGGGTGGAGGTTGTATCTGATCAGATATATATTCATCTCTCGTCCACCTTCCGACTGAACTTTCTTTTCTTCCTCTTCCATGTTCCAGACTTCAATTAGCTTACCTTCTTGGCTTTCTGTCCTTTTCTTTCCTCACTATACCACTTTATTCTTTCTCAACGCCGACATCCCGCTCAACGTCCTCTGGCCTTGAGCAACGCTACCCACATACATCTTCTCTTTGTACAAGAGCACACACATTAGCAACCATGCCATCCTCAGCACCTGTCCTACGGCCCAAGAAGGCTCAACCCGTCAATGCCCACAAGGAGGAAGAGCCGATCAGCTACGACATCAACATCCCTTACGTTGATGTCACGAAAGAGTCCAATACCCGCACCAGATACCCCGAGTACCTTCCCACGTGGGACAAGGTGTGGTTCGATCCTCTTCCCCCCTTCGAATATCAAGACCCTGCGCTGCGCGTGACGGATAAGTCCAAGCGCAATCTCCTGTCCCCGGGCACTAAGGTGACGGAGATCCAGCCGCGCATCGGTAGCATCGTGGAGGGCGTTCAACTCAACCAGCTGTCTGATGCTGCCAAAGATGAGCTTGCTCTGCTCGTCGCTGAGCGCAAGGTGGTTGCTTTCCCGGACCAGGATCTGATTGATGATGGTCCTGCGGCACAAGAAGCTTTCATGCGTCACTTTGGCAAGCCCAACTACCAGCCCGTCTCGGGCTCGATGCGGGGACATCCCGGGTTCCATATCATTCATCGCGACGGTAACCGCGAGGAAATCACGCGTTTCTTGGAGCAGCGCACCACCACGACGCTCTGGCACCAGGACGTCAGCTATGAGATTCAGCCGCCAGGTTATGTGATGCTCGGCTTGCTGGAGGGGCCTGAAGTGGGTGGCGATACTGTGTTCTCCGCGACCGATATGGCTTACAAGTAAGTCTTGTCCTTTTATGCGCGACGAATCGGCGTCAAATCCAGACATAATCTAATGCACAATATAGGCGTCTTTCCCCAACTCTCACCTCTTGGCTGGACACTCTGCGCGCCGTCCACTCGTCGGCAAAGATGATCAACCATGCGCGTCTGACTGGCAGCCTGGTGCGCAAAGACGCCGTCGACACCGTTCACCCGCTGGTGCGCGTCCACCCGGTCACTGGCGAGAAATGCCTGTTCGTCAACGGCGAGTTCATCACCAAGATCCCCGGTCTGAAGGAGCCCGAGCAGCGTTGGTTGCTGGACTTCCTCATGCAACACATCATCACTGGGCACGACTTTCAGGCCCGAGTGAGGTGGCAGCCTAGGACAATTGTGATTTTCGACAACCGCTGCACAACCCGTACGTTCCTTCTACCCACCCAAGATAAGCGCCCAA